TGGATGGATGGATGGATGGATGGATGGATGGATGGATGGATGGATGGATGGATGGATGGATGGATGGATGGATGGATGGATGGATGGATGGATGGATGGATGGATGGATGGATGGATGGATGGATGGATGGATGGATGGATGGATGGATGGCAGACAGACAGTTTAAAAAGTGTTGATCACCAAATAATATTTTGTGATAGTAAAAATGTTGATAAATGAATCCTAGATCTAAATTAAATATTTGATAAAGGATTAATTTATTTGTACTCGGTAAAATGTCTGTTTGAAATGGAGTTTATATTTTTGTTGTGCACAGGGTGACCCTGAAGACAACCCTGCTCCTGGTTGTTCCGCTGAACACATTCAGACCAGGGGCCCTGATGACACATCTGGATTTAGATGCTTGGATTATGTGTCGGATTCACAGCTTAACACCATCGTTCTCACGTAAGAAAGAAGTCAATGAATTCTGCCCAACAAAAAATATATTAACAGAAATCTAAGAAAGGCAAAAAACTAATTAAAAATGTTCAAAGCGTCTTCTGATGCAAAACTCATACATATAAAGAAAAATAACATTTCAAAACAATCCAACAAGGGAAATCACAATATGTAGGTCACGTGTATTTTGAAATACCTTTATTAAAAGAGGTGACTCCTTTATTTTATACACCTGTTGAAAGGCAGACGTATTATAACGTAGCCCATATGTACGTAAACCTTCTCGTCATCTTTTGATCTGCTCAAGAAAATTTAATGAAACTTGATTCACATAAGCATCATCACTAGACAGAGTGTGTAATCTTTTCATCACCAAGCTCTAAGGTCAAGGTCTCATATCAAGGTCAAATGTTTTACAAAGTTTTTGGTTTTCCAGGCCATTGCTATAGATCGCTGTATAATAATTTGTCCGCCGGTGTATAATTTGCTGTATGCTCCAATGTTTTATTCTGCAGTGATGAGAAGATAACGGAGAAAGATGAACCTGATCGCTCTGCCTGTCTTGAAGATGCCACAGACCTGATCTGTGGACTGATCGGAGAACTTTCCTCTCTAAAGTTAGTAGAAACAATTTTCATGTTGCTTTTCTCTTTTTTTTTTTATATAACCTTAATTTTTTTTCTGTATCTAGCTTACTTTTTAAAATCCTGACAATGCTGAACTTTCTGAGAGGCTCCATTGATCATATGGGAACTATGGGAGTGCAGAGATAATCTCAGCACATGCCACAAAATTATAAAGAACAATGCAAAACGATAACTTCTGACAGGCATGCAGCTCTTTTGTGACGAGGCTCCTGTGGCCATCTGTTGATTCCTTTAAAAAGCAGCTAAAGCTTTGAGCTAAATGTTCTACTTACTGTTTTATATCTGAATTTCTGTAAAGCACTTTGTGATTTATCTGTGAAAGGTGCTATATAAAGAAAGTTTACTTACTTCAAAATCTTTGACCAAAACTAACATAAAACTGAATTTTATTGGTTGTTATACTAACAAAAAAAGTTAGTTTTAGCAGTTTTCCTGTTATTTATTTTGTAAATATGTGAATACGAGAATACAAGGAGTAAAACATACTCGCTTCAACGTTATGCTTTATTTCTATGTTTATTACACAATTAAAAGAAAAATCACATGTCTGTGTAGTTTTTTTTTTTAATCATCTAATCTTAACATCTTTTTTGCCTAAAATTTTAACTTCTATGTGCAACTCTGATTTAAAGGAAGTAAAAACTAGAAGAAAATTATACTAAATACTCAAAAATTTAAAAAAATCGGACGTATTTGTCAGATTACTGAATTGTCTTACTCAAAGCTCTGCCAAAAAAAAAAAACACTTCCACAAACAGGTGGTCCAGCTGCCAGAGGTAGTAATGCATGATCTGCGAGATCTTATCATCTCGTTAGCGCCCGTTCTGAATTCACGCCTCTTGTTACCAGTTTCTTACAGAATACGTTAGAAAATTTAAATTACTTATTCTGTTAATTGGTTTTTACTCCTCTGGTTTAATTTCCAACTGAATGTTGGATTTAATTATTTAGATTTTTTTTTTCTTTTTAAATTAAGTTGTATTGTTTACCATTAAACTATGTAATGATTCACATACATTACACACTTTGAACCACCCAAACAAGCAGTTATTAGTGGTTCCACAAGTCGAAGCTAAAAGCGGTGAAGCTGCTTTTAGTTTGAACGCCCCTCACCTGTGGAGCTCAGGCCTGACCTGACCACATTTAAATAAATCTAAAGACATGCTTGTTTGGTGTTGCTTTCAACTAGCATGTCGAGTTACCCACTATGGCATTCATTAATTGTGCATTTAATAATTGTATATTTGATGATTTAATGATGCCTTTTATTACAGTATGCATTTATTTTTGTCATAGCCGTCTGGTTTGAAACATGTCTAATGAACAAATTTACCTTTATTCTTTCTAGTCGGAAAGTCATGGCTGCTCATCGACAGCTGGAGAACCTTCGACGCAAAAATCCAAAAAGCTTTGCACGTTAGGGATTTATTTTTCTTTTACGTTTTGATCTCACAGGTCCAAGAGTTCACAAGTTTTAAACTAAGGATTTAAATGACTTAATTCTCCTGTTAACTGGTTTTGTTTCCAACAGGAATGTTCAGTTTAATTATTTGGATGTTCTGTTTTTTTTTTCTTTTCTTAAAATAAAGTTGTATTGTTTACCATTAAACTATGTAATGATTCATGTTTGCTTATGTCTGGGAAAGGGACAAAAAAAATTAAACCAAGTTCAAGTTACATATTTATATATTGTTTTCCAAACATACAAAAGGCATTTACAATTTTCAAAATAAAACATGCTTTTACTTATGTACAACTTCTACATTAGAACAAGAGGAAATCCTTCACATACATATATAAAGATTAAAAAACTGACAGTCACATGATGTAAACAAGCTGTAATGATGAGTCATTGTAGGTCCTGCAGGGAAACAATCGGTCAAATCATGGAGGTGTGGAACTGGACAACATTCGGCCACGTTTTAAATTATAAAAACAAACACTGATGTTTTTTTGTTTTCCTCCCAAACATCCGGCAGTCGTAGTAAATAAAAATAAAGCCTTACAATATGTAAACAGACCAAAACAACTCCAATAACAAGAGAAAACTCGTTTATATAAAAAGTGAATGCAAATGAAAAACAAGAATCAGCACAAACCACACGCGCTAAAACAAAAAAAAAAAACCCCACTCATAAAGAAGAGGATGTCTTCTCTTTGTCCTTTTGCTAAAAAGTCCGACTCAGCGTCTGGACCTGACGTACACGGAGCAGTACGCGCTGTCCACTTTGGGGCAGAAGCGCTTGGTGTGAGCCTTGGCCCCCGTGGCCCCGCACAGGGGACACACGTACTTCCGCAGGTAGGGACAAAAAACGTCCCCGGCCTGGTTCTTCAGCCAGTGGGATCCATAAACCAGCTCGGACTCCCCGTTATGTTTGCAGAAGCTGCAGAACTTGGCGCGCTCAGGAGGAGCAGGAGTGCCGCCGCTTCTGGTCCTCTTGCGCTCTTTGGACCAGACGGAACTCGCCGGTGATTCTGACGTCATGTTCGCCTCCACGTCCTCTGCTTGAGGCGCGTGCGGGCTCAGGAAGGCCGTGCGGTGGAAATCTGACGTCCTGTCTGCGCGTGGCTCCGTTCTGCCGACTGCGTTCAGGCGCATAGACATGAAGCCTTTGATCAGATCGTCCGGCTCTGCGCCACGCGCGCGCACTGACAGGTGGTGCTCAGCGTGCGTGTCGCGAGGCACAATCTGTTGGATTGCGTCCGCCAGACCCAAATAATCCCTCCATGGCTCAAAACGTTCGCTCATCACTCCTTAAATTGTCTCCAGAGACGTGAGGAACTTTTGATTGGTAATTGGACACAGCGGCGCCACGAGGCGCACACCTTGCTGCCAGCCCCCAATCACATGGGCGCGTGGGCAGCACGTGCCGTGTTGATCCAGCTCTCCACCAATCAGAAAACAAGAGACAACCTGTGCACTTGTCTAATGAGTGAACTTTTCAACAGTTCGCTCTGATGAAATGAAACTTTTAATGCAATGAAACTTGTCGCTTTTCGGCGAAATTCTCTGATTTCAAACAAAATATGTCATTTGCGTGGATCATCCGAGGTGGTGGTGGTGGAGGGAATACAAGTTAAGTTGGGTTGTCATATGCAAATCAACACAAGATCAACAATTGTTGTTCACTAAATTCAGGTCTCTCTTGTAAATGTCTGATGCTTAGGGAGATTAACACCATTTTATAACAGACCTGTATAAATAAAGGAAACGCTCAGAAGTCTTAACTCGACAAAACATTTAGACTTTTAATCCAAAAGATTTGTTGTTGACTAAACATCTTCGCTGTCGTAATTAAAATTAGAATGTTAGTAAATGCATTTTCCTTTAATTTCGCTCTTTGAGTATTGAATGCTTAATTTACATTATAAAAACAAAATCTTAGGGGGAGGGGGGGGGTGTTTCCTGTGCCCTTCCCCCACACCCTGCACGGTTTTATCTTTTTTCGTTGTCTGCATTTTTATTTTATTTTTCCCCATTCAACCTTTATTTATCCAGGCTAGTCTCATTCAGTTACCGGGACTCTTTTCCATGAGAGACCAGTTTACAAAATTAACTATAAATCGTTAATTAACTGTTTATTGTTAAAGTAATTATTGAACCACAACGGAACCTTGAACATTTGCCGAAGCACACAGGCAGATCAATGCGCACATGAACCACACTTGTTCCATTTAGCACAAAAAAGTAGTACCACTTAAACTACTGTATTGCTATTATTAAATACATAACTCATCCCGTGAGTTTGCAAGTATGGGAAAAAAATTGAATGAACTTACCTTGATTTATTGTTCATTTGTAATTCAGGTTATTTTAGAAGACTGGAACCCGTTTTTGATTTATGCATAGAGTACAATCGCTTTGCATGCTTTTTTTTTTTTAAATTAATTTAATTTTATAGAGTAAATACAGAGTTCGTTTTCATCACAGTAAATCAGTTTAGAAGCTAAACAAGTTAATGTAAAAAACCAAAAAAAACCAACTGATTGTCTTAATTTAAAAGCGATTAAAAAAAAAGTTTAAAATTGAAGAGCATAACTTGATCAGATAAGGTAATATCCATTCTTTTAAATGAGATTTTAGTGGTAAAGGATGGGTCAGTCCAATTATTTTTCTCCATTTCACATATGATCAGAGTAACAAAAGATGTTTAATGTTTTATTGTGCCAATTGTAGGTTTTACATGTGTAATTTAAAGAAAAATCATTTGGGTGAGAGAAAAAAAATTATACATTTGTCACTGCAGCAGCAGGTCAGTGATGTTTGTTCGAGCAATTAGCAATAAACACTTGAGCTTTTGACTTTTAGCTGGGATAGCTTTTAGTTTGTTCATAGTGCTGGGTCAAAACACACGAGACGAGTTTAATTGCTTCACTTGTGAATTCAGAGTTGATCAAACAACAACAATGCAACAAAAGGTCTCGTAAATGAGTCCCCGAGGCTCAGTGGGACTAACGTGTAGAACTAAAAGGTTGAATGAATGAAAAAAAAAAAGAACATTTGTTTTCAATGTGGATATCAGCACAGAAATAATGTGAAAGTTACAAGTAAAAAAAATAATTTCTTTATTCCGTCAAAAAAAAAAAAAAAGTCAATATCTCATCAAATTTATATTAAAATGACCAGTCTAAATAGGAAGGCCAAGGTGTGTGCAGTCGCTTGTCGGCTACTCCATCCCACATCTCCGACTGGTGCTCAGCATGTCTGGACCTGAAGGTAAAGCAGCAGGTATGAGATGAGTGGAAGACAAGTAGCTTAAAGACAATCTTCATTTATGCGCTGAGGAAACTATGGATTCTATCAGCAGTAAAAAAAAAAAAAACGAGGTTATGAACAGTCAGTATCTTACCTGTTGTAGATGGCGGACGATGTTCATTTACATAAAGTGTTTAATTCTTACTGGATTGATGAGCCAACAGCCAGAACAAAACCAAATATCTATTCTAGTTTTACTAAAATATATATTAGGTATCAAATACTGGATATGTTTTGCAGACATTCATAACTGTATTTTAGTCAAAACATTTAACCTTTTGTGTGATTCATTTACCTGGATGAATGAGCATACATCCGGATGGTTTTTCACCATTTTGGCCAGTTTAACCTCAGATCGTTTTGGTGAGGGGGGTTCCCTATTTGCATGTGTAAACTTTACTGGCAGGGGAGGTTTTTGCTCACATTAAGGAAAAAAAAGGAGTCACCATTTGGGAGGAATCTAAAAATTAAATGAATTACAGCTGCTCTATATAAACAGGATGAGATATTTTGTCCATTTTATTATCTATACACCAATTTTTTATTGATGTTTGAATTGTAGAGGATCTGAAAGCACAGTTTTGGGAGGTTGATTTAGTATTTTTCACAAGTGTAAAAATTATGCAAAAAAAAAAAAAAAGAATAAAGTCGGCTAATCATTTTCTAAAAGCATCGTCTTCAGCAGAAAATTCCACTTTAGTCTCCAGGAAAGTGATCAAAATATAAATTTTTTTTTTTTTTTCATTTAGCCTTTATTTATCCAGGTTAGTCTCATTGAGCCACGAGAACTCATTTTCAAGAGAGACCTGTTTAGGGAGCACATGGTGGGGGTGTTTCACCTACCCCACCCACAATTTTGATGTTGTCGGGGCCGGGGCGTGAACCGGCGATCTTCGGATCACAAGCCCACCTCTCTAACCTCTGCGCCACCACTCCCGTGGCGTATAGGTATTTTCTATATCTAGAAAATATAACTTCTAGATGTAGGAAAATGTTTGCAGATGGCACTTTGTTTCTTATCCTGAACAGAAATATGAAAATCAAACAGGTGTGTGCTCAGAGACCAGCTGAAACAAACTAATGCTGGTATTTAAAGCCCCCGTGTTATGTTGCCTGAATATTGTTGGCTTTTTTCAGGCTCTGGCTGTCAAAGCAGTACAAAACCCAACAGTTTGGGCTAAAGTAAGCACAAAAACGTGTGACACCTTGATAGAATCCAACCATTCAGAAGCAAATTAAGACAAAGCAACAAAGTAAGTACATTTTATTTATATAGCACCTTTTACAAGTCAGAAACCACAAGGCGCTATATGGAATATAAGACATAAAAATAAGATAGGAAAAAAAAGAAAAAAAGATAAAACAGAAGGAAAGGTAAAACATATGTATGACAAAACAAAATAAAACTAAAAGCCAATCTGAACAAATGTGTCTTCAGCTGCTTTTGAAGAGAATCAAAAGAATCAAGGCAGGGTAAAGTCAGAGGTAACGCATTCCACAGCCTGGGGGCCACAGCCCCATCCCCTCTGGTCTTAAAATGAGTACGTGGGACCATGTGTCAGGAAAATTCCCCCATATTAACAGCCCAGATCTATGGGGGAGTGGTGACGCAGAGGGAGCAGCCGAAAGAAGAAGAAGAAAAAAGAAAAAAAAATTAACAGCCCAGATCTGAGGCTCCGAGAAGAAGAGTAGGGCTCCAAGTCAGAGATAGACTGGGGCTTGACCCCTCAAGGCTCTAAAAGTAAGAACTAAAATTTTTTAATGAATTCTACAATATACTGGTAGCCAATGTAAAGAGAAAACTGGTGTGTTGCCTTTTCTGTGTGTTGGTTAAAAGCCTTGCAAATGATGATCCTTCTTGGTCAAACAAATGAAAAGACTTACAATAATCCAGACGGAATGTAATAAAAGCATGGATAATCATCTCTAATTCAGCTTTAGACACAAGAGACCTAAGCCTAGAAATATTTCTTGGTTGGGGGAAAAAAAAAAAGAACAGTTTCTGATTAAGCCCCAACAGCTGTCAAAAGTTTTTTCCATAGACAATTTGATGATCATCAAAGTGCATGGATCATAGGTTTGAGCAGAGAAGACAAAGCACAAAAAAGAACAAAAAAAAAAACTGACATTGTCAAAAATTAAAATTGAAGTCAAACGATACAAACGTGGAGGAGCAGAAACGGCCAAGCCAAACACAGGCGCCATGTTGCCACGCCTAAGAACTAATCTCAAAATTTGTGTCAAGGATATAAAATAAAAAGGTTGTAAAATGTAACGGCTCATTATGGTCACTCCAAAGGTCAAAATAGGGAATTTTATATCCATAATAAAGTTCAATTACCGATTCAAGAAAAAAAGTTGCAGAAAAAAACGCTGTTTTTAGAATCAAAGCTAAATCAAAGCACACACCATGAACGGTGCAGTGACCTACGATACGTTTGTGTTGAATTCATACTTCAGAATAATAATTATTAGAGCACATGGATTGTATCGTTTCTGGAATTGTAGACAACTTTGTACGTATCAGAGACTCCTGCTGTGAAAGGCTGAAGGAAGTTGTGATTTCCCTACTATTAGGGATTATTATTATTAGGGATTATTCAGGGGCCGAGATGAGGTAGAGGTAGGGCGGCCGACCTGGGACCAGAAAGTCGCGGTTCGACTCCCAGCCATTCCCACATGTCATGGTTTCTCTGAGCAAGACACTTAATCCCTAATGGACTATTGCAACGGTTTATTATCTGGGTGTCCAAATACTTCTTTAAAAGTCTTCAGTTAATCCAAAATGTTGCTGCCAGAATCTTAACTTGAGTTAATAGGAGGGATCAGATCTCTCCTGTTTTAGCTTCTCTCCATTGGCTCGTCAAGTCCAGAATTTAATTCAAAATCTTACTTCTAACCTACAAAGCCCTCAACAACCTAGCTCCATCTTATATTCGAGATCTTATTGTTCCATATTTTCCAAACGGAGCACTTCGCTCTCAGACTGCAGGTGTAGTGAACTAAGCCACTACACAGGTTTACTCACGGTTCCTAGAGTTTCCAAAAGCAGAATGAGAGGAAGATCTTTCAGTTATCAGGCTCCTCTCTTGTGGAACCATCTTCCAGTTTCTGTCCATGAGACTGACACATTGTCCAGTTTTAAGACTGGGCTTAAGACTTTCCTTTTAGATAAATCCTATAGTTGGGGTTAGCTTGTTACGCTGCCATAGGCTAAGAATACTGGAGGACAAATTTACCTCATTTCCTTAAAGAAGTGCTAGAATTTAATAGTTTTACATTTGATACCATTTCTATCTTAACCTGCCATTGTGTATCCGTTCCTACCAAACCCAGCCAGTCAAAGCAAATGGCCGCTTGTCTTAAGTCTGGTTCTGCTAAAGGTTTCTTCCTCATGAGGGAGTTTTTCCTTTCCACCGTCGCCTTCATGCTTGCTCAAGATGAGATCAGTGATGAGTTAAACTGAAAGTCTGCTCCTCGGATAAATAGTGTTATATTATTTTTAATGAATGCTTTTGTTAACTTATTTTATATATGAATGTTTCTGTTCAGTGCCCAGAGATTACTGGTACTTGTTGTGACTTGGCACTATATAAATAAACTGAATTGAGACCGAATTGCTCCCCAGGCACTTAGCTTCCCACTGCTCCACTGGGTGCATCTCATGTGTAATGGTTAAATGCAGAGAACTCATTTTGTCATTGTGTGGGAACATACAGTGACAAAAGGCCAAACACCCCATCCTGACCAGCACCCCCCAAGGAGAGATGCCTCGTCCGATAACAATCTCAGACGTCTCTTGCTTAAGGCAGTGTCTGTGAATCTCACAGCAGGATGGCTTGCATCATGTCAAAAGGTGCACAAAAGATCTTGATGGCAGGCCGACAAAGTCTTTCAGATGAAAGACGAAACGTTTCTTACAATAACAATCAGTCTGGATGACGATTGAACCTTTGTGATTTCCAATATCCAGAACGTATTTCTTCCTCTGCACAATCGATATTTCAGAAAACAAACATCTTTAAGGCAAACTTCACTTTTCCTATTCATAAAAAGGGGGTGGGTTACAGTTTTTTTTGTTGTTTTTGTTTTTAAACAATTTCATGTGCCCCGTGTGTCCTTTCATGATTTGGGAGACCTCTGGATAACAAGAACACAACAGCCCTTTCCAAGTATGAAATTAAAGTTTTCAAAATGCCATCCACAACAAGTAAAATATTAAAATCTTCACAATCTTTACACAAAACCCACTTCCACATCAAGCTGTGTTGGGTGGGAACACCAACCTGTGATTGTAAGACAGATTGAGGGCAGCGTACAGCTCAGGGGTGTCGGGGGTTTGAACCCGAGCTCCTCCTTCATTTCCAGACTCAGTGGATGATGGAGTGATGGGATGACAGCCAGACACGTCCGTGGGCCTCCCACTGGAGAAACCTGACAATGAAAATGATACTTATATAAACAGCACAGTTAAAAGAAAACTCGAGACAAAACAATGATTCATGTATCACGTTTCCATGAATCAGAGTTCATGGGGCTGCCACACCAGCATTTATATTAACTGCAATTATGAAATTTAATTGTAAATTAAGTATAAATTGCCAGCTTCTATTCAATTTACTTAAAAGTGTTTAAGGCTGTCAAAAATATGCAAATTTTAATCTTAAATTTTTTTATATTTATGCATCATCTATGACAAAAATAACCACTAAATATGCAAAATTCACTACCAAAAGTCTACTGTATCATTTGGATTTACCTTGTCCTGTGTGACTGAGAATCTAATGTCAATGCATTTCTACAGCACATAAAAACAACCAAAGCTAACTAAAGTGCTTTACAATTAATTCAGTTAAAAAGAGTAAACGATAAATAAAAATACATTTTGTGCCTCAGAAAACACAAGTTAATAAAATACAACACACAGCAACAATAAAAGTCAACTAACTGGTTCTCAGACTCTGCATGGATCAAATGACAAGGAAAAAAAAATAGTTTTGAGCAAAGATTTAAAAGTCAGCTGTCTCAGTAGTCTTTAAATGATCAGGTAAACTGTTCCACCATTTTGGAGCAGCAAAGCCTGATCACCTCTGGACTTTAGTTTGGATCTGGGGACATTATGACGTACTGGTTGGTAGACCGGAGCGCTCTTACTGTAGTGTAGGTATTAAGAAATTACATAAATAAGACAGGGCCAGACCTTTTAAGACTTTAACAAGCAATAAAATCTTCAAATCAATCCTGAAGTGGACAGGAAGCCAGTGGAGAGAAGCCAGGACAGGCGTTATGTGATCGTGTTTTTTAGCTGCTGTTAAAAGACGAGCTGCTGGTTCTGGATGGTTTGTAAATGATGCAAAGATGATTTATCTAAACCAACATACAATGAATTACAGTAGTCCAAATGAGAGCTGATAAAGAATGAATAACCTTTTCATGGTCTCTGAAAGGGAAACAAGACTTCACCTTGGCATCGAGTCTTGGAAGAAACTGGATTTCACAACTGCATTTATCTGTTTGTCTAATTTAAAAGCACTATCAAAAATAACTCCCAGATTCCTGACAGTGGTGTGGCTGTATGAAGCCAAGAGGCCAAGAGTGTCAAGGGTGTTGCATTTACCAAAGCTGATAGACTTTAGTTTTATTTATTTTCATTTAAATTCAGAAAATTTAGTTTTAACCAAACTTTAATGTCGTTTAGAAAGTTCAAAAGTGGTTCCAGTGGAGTGACCCTGTGACTCAATGGACAGATACAACTGAATATAATCAGCAAAGAAATAAAAAGAGATGTTATGTTTTCTAAAAATGGATCCCAAAGGCAACATTTAAAGATTAAAAAGCAGTGGACCTAAAATAGACCCTTGAGGGACCCCACAGATTTGAAGATCCACAGATGAACATTCCCCTAAATGAACAGAAAAACCCCTGTCAGACAGGATCTAAACCAAGATAAAACTGTTCCTTTGATACCGACCACTACATCCAACTACACAGCTGGTGTAATCTACACCAGCATACCGCAGAATTTGTAATAAGCTAAATCAGCAGTCACGTTTTGTTGCCAACAATCCAGAGTTGTTTATATTAGAACATTGACAAGTGCACTTCAGGCAGTGTCGGCGCACGACAAAGTCAGTAAACTTATCCCAAATTATTTGCTGTTTTCTAACAATTTTTACAAAAAACCCTGAGGAGTTTAAGATACATCAACCCTCAATCATTTGTTGATGCAAAAACTGTGTTGGAAGCATAAAATTTTAAATTAAAAACATTGAAAAATTGTGTATTTCGACAGCTATAATGGCTTTAAAGTAGTAAATTAAAAGAACATCTAGTTAAATAAATTTCCACACTTTAGCTACATTTACATTTCAGAGCTCTGAAAAGCTTCAGTTCCAACTAAAAATGTAATGAGATATTTATATAATATATATATATATATATATATATATTGTATCAAGCGCACAAATATTAAAAACAGAAAAAGTTACAAAAATAAATAGATTGCCTATTAAACAAGTATTTGTAAATTTATAGTATGCTGGTTTATTTTATAAAATATTAAGACATTTAGAGTTACAGTACAGGTGCATCTCACAATACTCAAATAATGTGAAAGTTATTTTTTGTTCATCAGTGCAGAAAGGGAAACTCATTGCACACATTCATTACACAGAGTGAAATATTTAAAGCTTTTATTTATTGTAATTTTGATGATCATAGCGAAAAAAAATGGTACCTTTGACAGTGTGGGCAGGTGGATAATGAAATCAGCATCTCCGTTAAGCTCATCAGCAGCAGGACACATGAAGTGCTCTAAAATGTCCTGGAAGATGCTGCGTTGGCTGTGGACTTCAGAAAACACAGTGGACCAATACCAGCAGAGGACATGGCCCCAAACAATGACTGACTGGAAACTTCACACTGGACTTCAGAAAACACAGTGGACCAATACCAGCAGGACATTGCTCGTATGATCCTCCGCGGTGACTCGCCCGCTATGAATTTTGTCGTCGGTCACCAAGCACAAAAAACACCCGCACTTCAGCATTAGAACACGGTGTTGTCATTATCGTTTTTAAAATCTGAAAAATAGATCCAGCCGCTGCTTAGAGTTCCGAGAAATTGCAAATGGCGGATCGGTGAAAAGTTTCTGAGAGGTCCAGTGACTCCTCCCCCTGACCAATCAGTGACCGACAGTGTTCTGACGTCACATTTAGGTGCCGACTCGTCTCGAACGGTCCCACCAGAGAAGCAGGGACAAAAAAAAAAAAAAAAAAAAAAAAAAAAAGGCCGAATCAGCTAAAAAGTACTAGTGGTGGAAAAGCGCTCAAACCGTAGCTAACTGAGCAGAGTTGGGGCTGAGTAGGAGTGGTGGAAAAGGGGCATTAGATAACCGAACCACGCACACCACTGAATTAGTCTTTCCTCTCTTATCAGTTATGCAATCCGCTTTCTCTTCGCTTGTGAAAACTTGTTCAGTCACATTCTGATGGTCATGGGCACTCGTTTTGAAGCGATCACACGCGTTGGAGATTAGCCTAGCCTGCTACTGCCAACGCCTTCTAGACTTGAGCTCTGCGTAACATCTACGTCGCCACGCACTTGCGAAGTTGTGCCGCAGCTTTTTCTGTTTGGGTTGAAACTGAAGCGGCCGCTTCAACACAAACAGAAAAAGAAATGCGTCAGTGAAACGCTGTAATATCGAAAATGTGCTTAAAATTCACATCAACGTTATTGAAGAAAAGTATATTTCGACATATATCGATATCGAATTATTGTCCAGCCCTACGTTCTGTGCGTTCAAAAGTCTGACGGCAAACTGAAAAGCCAGAAATGCTTAGTAACCCGACCGGCTGTTACACTAGCAGACGGTCGCTAACACACTAGTAGCACCAGATTTATTTATCGGCACTTTTTCTAAACTGGACGGCTCCCAAACGTTTGTTTTCAAATGTTTCTGGTGGCGAGCAGACACCTGTAGCTGATGATTAAAGAGAAAGTGCAACTTTTGGACAAAGTTTAAGATGGCCGAACCTATGCGGCTGCCGCTGGCCGCTTACAGCACATTTGTTAAAATGCAATGGATTAATGACTGCAGAAAAAAAAACATCACTTTGGATACCAACACCAAAGGTGAAACAACTTTACTGTTTTGTCATCTCTCAGCAAGCAGCATGGAGGAAGAGAAATGGCGATGTAAACGAGGAGCGGCTGCGTCTGCTCACAGCACGAGCGGAGGAGTTTGTTAACGCAACGTTCAAAGATCTGATCACCGAGGGGGTCTACAGGTCTGAACCAAGTTTTTAACGTGGACGAAACAGGCCTGTTCTGGAAAAGGATGCCGTCTCGCACTTTTATTATGCAGGACAAAGCCAAAGAGCCTGGTTTTCATCTCATCTTCATCACCTTCATCATCATCACTGGACAGCCAATTCTTCATCTCCATCTCTTCATCTTCACTGGCAAGTACCCATTTAGATTAAGATTTTTAAAAGGTTTAAGAGATTGGAAAATTGTTAGGAACATTGCAAGAGTGTGGAAAGTTTTTAAAAACGCCAATATATACCAGTTTATAAAATAAACTACTTCTTACTACTACTACTACTGTACATAATTGAGATGGTAATGACACTCAAGTGTACTTGAACTACTGTATCCCTACTTTGCGGTTTTTCCACTTATTGTGGGTGGGTGTGGTCCCAAACACCAGTGATAAACGAGGGACCACTGTATCTAATTTTCTGAGACCCTGAATGTTGTTTTTTCATTATTTGTAGCCCATAATCATCAAAATTACAAGAAAACAAGGCTTGAAATATTTCACTCTGTAATAAATCTATATAAGTTTCACTTTCTGAAATGATTAAATTGAACTTTTCCACAATTATAATTTTTGACATGCACCTGTATACAACATTTCAAGTTAAAACAGTAGCAATGCCAATCAATGTGTGTAAGGCGAGCGGAAGGCCCTAAACTAAATCTTTTAAAAGGGGGCTCAAAAATCTTTGAGTCTTCTCTGCACAACTGTACAGGAACTGGCCTTGTGAGAAAACAAATTATTTTTTAATAAAATAAAACAGTTGACTTCAGATCAACAGGACACAGGGAAATAAAGAGAAAGGAAAAATCTGCCAATTTGGATCCTGTTCTGAAAACAATCAAAAGGACTTTAATGTTAATCTGAAGTCAAACTGTGTCACCACATTAAAGGATCATCCTCACTGACCGAAAGCAGAGCTCTCTCCCCCGTTGCTGGTCTGTGCTCCTTGGCCAAACGGAGACGACGCACACAAATATTGCTGCTTCACATAACAGGCTCTTTGTTGCTCCAAATCGTGGCGCTGCGTGTGCAAAAGAACAATCAGGACAGGATGTACACAGTAATCTTTACTTGTACGAGAGTTTTTAGCCAATGCATGACTAACTTACGCACTGCAACATCCTCACCCTCTGCCTCGGTTATTTTACCTCACGGCTCAGTCGAATGGCGGCGTCAGTGAAAGCCTGCCGCTCCCTTTCAAAAGTCCTCCTCTGACGATTCAGCTCTGCCAAGGACATCTGAAGACGTTCCCATTCTTCCAAATAATAGGAGTCTGAGAGCTCGAGGGGAAGAGGCGAGACAAGGCTGTCCTAAAAGACGACGATCAGAACATCATGTTTAACATTAGCAAGGATTCAGATCAAGTTTGAATAATAAGTCGAACCTGCAGGAGCTGCTGCTGTAATCTGACAAGCTGCTGACTTTCTTTCAGCTCAGTTTCTAGCTGAGCCATGAGTTTGTCGTGGTCGGTGCTAGCAGCAGTTCGACCTGCAAGCAGAGAGATTTTTGAAACGCTCGGCTTGACGAACGTAAAACAACTTTAGCAGGATCCCTCTGAAGATTTAATGTTGGGGTTTACCTTCAGAAAGGATGTCTCGCAGTTTCTTCAGGACCTTCCTCCAGCTCTGAATGACTCCTCCGGTCACGTCTTCACCGAGAGACGTCTCAGTTTCAACCAGACTTCCCTCTCCTTCTTGTTCCACATCCATCAGCTCCGTCACAGACTGAAATGAAAAGGATTTAACTTTGAGAGGCCAGAGATGGTTTGGACATGTCCAGAGGAGGGACAGTGGGTATGTTGGTGGAAGGATGTTAGAAATGCAGCTGCGAGGAGAAACACAGGAGATATATGATGCAGTTAGAGAGGACATGGAGGTAGTTGGAGTGAGGACAGAGGACACCGAGGACGGAGTGAGATGGAGGACGATGACTCGCTGTGGCGACCCCTGAAAAACAGCCGAAAGAAGATGATCCATTGGTTCAAACTTTGTGTTGTAAATTTAAATTTTCATTCACCTGCTGCCAAAAGGCAAACGAGGACAATGTTTTTGCCAGCGTCTTCATGCGTGTTAGCAAAATATCTCATTTCACTGGATGGATTTGAACAAAACTTGTAGAAAGTAAATTACTGGATGAACATCTTATGGTTGTCACAGTCAAAGTCAACCAAAGTTTAATAAAAAAAAATAAAGAAGAAGTTCTGATCCGATTTGACAGATGAGCTAAACTTTGTTGGGACTAGGCCTGTAAAGATAACAGATTTTGCTTGGCGATTAATTGTCTCAGAAATTATTGCAATAAACGATAATATTGTTTGAAATTTGACAATAATTATTTGTCAAATGTAAGAAGAAATGTTGGGTAATTGTGTGTTGTACCTTTAAAAAAAAAAAAAAAAGACTGAACTGAAGGATGGATAGTGAGGGAGTGAGCAGCGTGTCTAAGAAAAATGGGAGAGAGGCCCCTTGACGTGACATGGGCTGTCTGGTGGATGCTCAGTGGTTTGAGCTCTTTAGCAAAGCATTTTTCACACAAAGCTTTTAATTAAAAACATTAAAAAAAAAAAAACATCAGTAAACAAGTTCTCAGCTTCTTTTTGTAGAGAAAAACAGCTTTTTAGATGAAGGCACAGGTTTCAACCGTGAATTTTGGAGCTTCGACAAGATGGAGGCAGCCTCAAAACACCACCACGACCAACAAACACCACCACGCACCACTCCCCCCCACCCCCCCCCCATTTACCCTTTATTTATACAGGTAGTCTCATTGAGTCACAAGAACTCATTTTCAAGAGACGTGTTTTGGGGAGCAAGTGGTGGGGGTTAAGCGTCTTGCTCATGGCCCCAGAGTGAGGCAAATGAGGGTGGAGGCAGGTGTGGATGCTTCACCTTTTCCACCCACCTTTTGATGTTTACAGTACCAGGAGTTGAATCTGTAATTTTCCCAAACTTCTCTAACCTCTGTGCCACCACTCCCCCACACCACCCACCCCCACCAACATTGAAAGCGTGCAAGTTATAGCCGAACCGAACCTTTGAGAATTGCGCTGCTGTTGTTCGGTGTATTGTTTAGCATATATCTTGGTTTATATCTCAGATCCTTATTTATCGTTTCTTTTTACACTTTATATTTTTGCTATTGTTGGATGTAACTGGGACCCATCCATCCATCCATTATCTTTTACCAACTTCTTCCATTTTGGGTCAGGGGGGTCGCCGGTGCCCATGTCCAGCAATCGCTGTGCGAGGGGCGGGGGACACCCTGGACAGGTCGCACGTCCATCACAGGGACACAAAGGCAAATGAGACAAAACCATTCACTCCCTCACTCACACCTAGGGACAATTTAGAGTTACCAATCAGTCTAACATGCATGTTTTTAGTCTGTGGGAGGAAACCAGGAGAACTCGCACATGCACAGAGGGAACATGCAAACTCCACCTAGAAAGGCCCCCAAACTGGGATTTGAACCAGGGTAACCTGCTCCCTGAGAGGCAGCAGCTCTACCTACTGCTCCACCATGCTGTCTATTCATATTGAGGCTAATAAGGTCCAAATAAAAATTAAAGCTCAAGCCACTAGAAAAAAAAAATAATTTTCACTGAATTTAATCCAAATTGAGAAAAAAAATCTGCTTTGATTAGATCTGAACAACTTTTCTGAATACAACTTGTTATAAGCTTATAGTTAAAAAAAACTTAATTTGGGGATAAATTTACTCGTGACATGAGTTAAGCGTCCGTTTCTGACCCGCTCCATGTCGAGTCTGAGCGCGTGCAGGAGGGTGGTGAGGCTGTGGCGCAGCTTCATGGCCTCTCTCAGCTCTGCCTCCCTGCGCTCCAGCATCAGATGCAGCGTCGCCTCCTCTTGTCTACAAGATGCAGAAATCAGACAAACATCCAACAAGAGGTGGACAATATGAATCAACATTTAGTGAACTCGCCTTGCGTTTGGCCTGAACGGTTTGCTCAGATGCTCTCTTTTGCCTCTGCTTCCAGGTGGGACGTTCAGCACCTCTATGGCTGTAGATAATGGAAAGAGATCAGCGTTTCAAGATGCATTTTCAGTGGATTACTAAGAGCCTCACATGGTCCTTTGCCTTTCTGCCCGTCAGTCAGCTGTGAGAGTTTCTCCTTCAGCTTGTTGCAGTGAAGCTCCTGACGCCTCAGTTCTGCCTCTTGCTGGAGACACTGCAGCTGCAGACAGGAGCTCTGACAGCAGCATTTTTATCAAGACGAGGAAAAATGTTAAGCCTTCAGGTCACTTTGTGTTGTGGCACAACTTACTTTGGCCCGTTCAGTCCTCAGCATGTTCTGAAGCCTGCCATTGTGTTCATCCATCTCTTTTAGCTGCTCCTGCAACAGTAAACAATTTTTTTGTCCTTCAACGGGCACATTTTTACTATTATCGCAGCAATGTTAAAAATAAAATTATGTTGTATACAAAAATGTATTTCTTGTAATAAAATTTAATCAAACTAGAAAAATGCTTTACAAATTTCACAAAGTGTCATTCTGAATGTAAATAAAGACAAATACGCATAAAGCTATAAGTACACCAAAGGAGCACAAGGAAAAACTGGATTTTTCACTAAAGAAGTGAAAAGACTGAGTGACTTGGATAAAATCTGCTTAAGTTCAAATGCAGCAAAAAATAAAATAAAATAGCAAAAAATTTAAACAGCAACAAAAGTAGCTAAAAGCTAAAACTAGCGAACAACTATACGGTAAACTAAACATCCCCCAAAAAAGCTAAAAGACTAAAAGCTAAATAGCAACAGAGGTAGCCAAAATCAACAACAACAAGAAGAACAACAAGAAAAATAGCAAAACGTAGCTAAAAGCTAAACCTGTTTGTTTGTTTGCCCACCCTGAGTGCATCTCCTTGGTCTCTGTTCTCCTGTTTGGTAGCACACCAGGATGTTCTTAGAGAGCATCCTTCCAGAGTGTTTGGACCCTTAAGGAGACCTGAATGTTAGACCAGAAAATTAAGGGGAAAGAAAGAGGAAATCATTATTGTCATTCTGTGGAAAACAAAGTGATAGGTGATGTAATCTAAAATAATCAAGTCTCCTGCATCCATAATCTGTGGCTTTCATTTGTGTTGCAAATTTAAAAACAATCAGAATACAGTATCTATAATAAAAAATAATTTAAAAAACCACTAGCAGCAGCTGGGCACCCTAGATGGCAGCCCACTGCTTCACATGTGCTCACATGTGCTCACATGTGCAATGGGAAAAATGCAGTGTTCCATCTTTATTGACGCTCTTCCAATACTGCCACCTACTGTTGTGTTTTTGTAAGCTGCTTCTGGAATGTATATACGTGACGTCATTACGTTATAAGGCGCTCGTGAGTGCAACTGTGTGCGTACTGCACTGTTTGAGGTTTTCAATAAAGACACCAGAAAGAGGCTGAAGAGACTCAGCGACTCACTTATTCCTGTCTCTCTGCAACCCCAACACCTCTGCGCTACAATCCATTTAACACAGAGATAATTAATTTACCTGAGCGCCCCTGCTGCCCAAATCTGGAATCCATCTAAATGTACAAATTTAAGAAACGAGAAATTATTTTACATGCATGTAAAAATACATGGCGTAATCAGCAGAACTTGCACCCACACTTCCTGGAGAGTCCATACCTGAGCACTGCAGTCATCATGCAGGGAGCAGCGTCTCTTGTCCAGGTGAAATCACTTCTGCTAATGATCAGCAACATGTGGGCGTGGTGGGCGGATCGATCCCGCATCGATAATATCGATACAGCATTGGGATTGATATTTATCAATAACAGTGTGATGACATTGATACTTTAGCTTCAGTTTATCTCCTGTATGTGGTGTCATTCACACAGCACAGGCCCACAGAGAGGCTTCTGGGAATATTTCTGTGAACTCAAGGCTTTGGAGGTTGTTCTGTTATTTACACTTTATTTATTGTATTTTCACTAAGTATTTTTAATTTGTAATTATTTTTTCAAACCCAGAATAGAAATTTACTTAAGAGGAGAAATTTTGTTTGATTCCTTTATATCCTAAATATATTTTACTGTTTTATTTGTTGCGGTGTTATAACCTTGGAGTTTGTTTATTTAAGAAGAAAAAAATCCAGAAAAGGAGTGCAATGAAGGGATATTTTTTATTTAATTATCATAGCTTCTAAACACAATGTTTTAATTTATTCTTGAGTGATAATTTTGTGCACTTTGTTTAAGGGGAAAAATAATCCAGCCATCACAAGGTATGGGGAAAATTTTTTTTCTACTGTTTTTTCCCCCCCCCCCCCCCCCCAGAAAAAGACTTTTATTATAATAAAGTATTTTTTATTTACTTATAAACTTTGCTTAATTCTATCCTAGGTTTTAACTAATAAATGATCCAAAGAAAAAATATTACAAAACACTTAAACGTCATCAAAATTCACTGTAATTATTTAGAAGTATCGTATTAGTATCAGCGATACTGGACCCACAGATATCATGTATGATATCTGTGATGGATATCATAAATGATATCTGTGATAGATATCATGTATGATATCTGTGATAGATATCATACATGATATCTGTGATAGATATCATATATATGAATCTATCTGTGATATCTATGACTGGACCTGCATTTCTTTGATATCGATCGATACCAAATTTTGCAGCGAGCTTCTTCTTCTTTGATTTTTATTTGGCTGTTGGCAGACAGTATTTTGGAGCATTACTGCCACCTGCTGGTTATGAGTGTGAACTGGAATCGCGCTATAAAAACAATTCATCCATACGAATGAATGGATAAAAATACAAATTAATGAAACAAATAAATAATTAAATGTAACTCACATTCTTTCAAACTAAATAGTCTGTTTCAGGTATTTTACTAAAATGTTGGTGCTTTCAGAGTCTGAGCTCCCCTTTAACAGTTCAATAGAGTCAAATCTTACTTTTATTTTAGTGAGACTGTTAATCATTTCACTTCTTTCATGTCTGTATGTCTGGCAGTACAATATGGTCTCATCTTCTCCAGTAGTCCCATTTACCAGCTTGCCTGTTATGAATAATGTCATAACTGTATTTGAGTTTAAACCGTTTCTATTTTTTGCTAATACTTTTAAATTTATGGTCCATCCAAAGCTTTTTGTGTGTTTCTTTTCTTTTTCTCAGAATGGTTTTAATATTTCTTGTGTTGGATGGTTTTGTTCATGGCCTTTCAGATTTGCCCAGTAGAGAGTTAACTGATCTCTTCTGATGTCCAGTGGTGTTTCTCCCATTTCTACTAATATTGATCCTGTATGTCTTGTTTTAAACGCACCGGTAATAATTCTTAAGGCTCGATATTGTATACTGTTTAACTTTCCTAAATTTGTTCTGAAGCTGAGCTATATATAACCAATACTTCCATATTGCTCTGATCAGTCCTGTGTAAATGGTCTTTGTGATTTCCTGTCTGCTCCTAGTCTCTTCCAGTTAAACACCTCATGATGTTTGGTATTTTTTTTTACATTTATCAGTAACTTTTTGAATGTGCACGGCATGTTACTCTCTCATCAAAACTTATACCGTCTTTTTTCACCCTATAAGTCGTGGTTTTGTGCATAATTTGCATGCCCTGCAACTTATACGCCAAAGCAACATATTTATAGATTTTTTCCCATATTCATAAACCAATTTTTGGCTGAGATATGACCGTTTTCATTCTGACTGAAAATATTGAACACTATAATTTTTTCCGCTAGATGGCGCTCGAGTAGTATGGCATGCCGTTGTATCATGTAATAGGTGAAAGTGGTTATTAATCACACAATCGGCTTGGCACAGTACCCCACCTTCGTCCAGAAAGTGCATTTATTAAGTGAAAGTTCAACTGAGACACACCTTTGCTATAATGTTGAGCAAACAAATAATTGATATAGGTGCTTATCTTGTTAAATTTCGAAGAAATGCACAGCAGCCTGTCCCTCTGCGCATCCACGTATCGGCTTTTGAAATGCAGCTGATTTAACCGTCAAAGTGCATTTATTAAGGAAAAGTTAGACTGAGACACACCTTTACTATAATTTTGAGCAAACAAATAATTGTTTTTAAGTGTTCATCTTGTTAAAGTCCTCCCATGCACGCTCCCGCGGCCGCCATTTGGCAGACAATCAATTTTTGGCACAACACTGGCCCACATTTCCGAGTTTGGCCCACATTTCCAGGTTATCAGCGGTGACGTATAATCGATGTGATGTATATGGCGAAGCAACATATTTATGGATTTTTCCACTTTATTAGACATATTTGGACTGATGCGACTAATGGGGCGGTGCGACTTATATGGCAGAAAATTCGGTACCAAGAAACTTAAATTGTTTTTCTTTCACTTCTCCATATAACCTAAGTTCACTATTATTGGTTGTCTTTTTTTCTTGTGAAAATTACTGCTTTGGTCTTGAGAATTTAAATCCCCATCTATATGAGCACTTTCCCCCAGCTTTCTTTTATTTTTAGTTCTCGACACCACCATTGGGCCTAACTGTGCGTTTCCACCCACTTCCATGAATTTCAGAATTATTTTAAACTCGTCTCTCACAACTTTTTTACAAATAGTTCTTCCCTCATCTTAACTAATTTCCTCTAAAGTTCGTTTTGAATGAACAGTCCGACCTTTTGGCTTGTTTCTTCCTCTTCCATTCACCTCCATGTCTTTGTCTTCATCCGAGTCATGATTCCAGTCCAATACAAAACCAAATCATTTTCCAGCACCAATTTCAAAAAGTTCTGTCTCCACCAAAGCGTGCAGCTTCCTTGCATGTGTCCAGTTCGTCTCGCTCTTTCTTCTACAGCCAAAATCTATTGACACCGAGTTTCACATTCATCAGTGTGGCCTCACATTTCACGTGACTTTCCATTTCATTGTCGCCTGCTGCAGATCGCAGAGGCAATAATGTCTTTGCTCATTTGTAGCGTTTGAAAAACGTTTCATGAACTGATGGATTTTATCAAAACTCATGTAAAATAATCAGTGGATGTACATCTGTTAAAACTTTTGGACTCGACCCATATCAGGATGGCCATTGCAGCTATTCAATAATGAGCAATAATAAAAAAAAAAGTCTAACTCAGCCTATTTTACAGACATCCAGTTAAAATCTTATGTGGTAGTAGCTGAGAGCCATTGCTAACATATATTTTGAGCACTTCTTATTGCATATCTTACCATTAACTTAAGGCACACTAACCCTGTTAGTAAAATCTTATGAAGCCTGCTTAATTTAAGATGTCGCCACAGACTAGATTAATCCTCAACACACACTCGAAGCACGAACAGATTTTGCGATATCGTGCATAATTTACATGGTTTGTTCAAAACGTCTCCAACTCTGTCCCTTCTCATGATCCGAGTTTAAAACTTTTATCAACAAATGCTAGAAATGAAACAAAAACGGCACACACTGACAATGTTTTTACAACCATTTTTATTTATCTGAGCAATTAAAAAATGAGTCCAGCACCATCAGTGTCCAAATCTCCTTTATACAAGTTATACTCTTTGCACCAATTATATGACTGTTTTCAACAACACACTGAATACATCCGTCACTAAATGAGTCAGTTTAATTCAGATCATATTATATAAAGGTTTGTTTTTGCCATTTGCACAAATGAAATTTAAAATTATGCTCAACATTTCATTGGTGTCTTTAAAAAAAAGTAATTAAAAAAAAAAAAATCACAGAACTTCAAAGATAATAAAGATCCACACGATCGGCTGTATCATTTTGGTTGATTGGTGTGGGAGTCTAGCATGAGAAACATAAACGCAACAAGTCACAGGAGCACAACTATAATTAAACACAAACATTACCAAGAATTTTAACAGATATAAATATTTGTGCAATGGAGCATGATATATATTAAACTATCTAAATCGCGCAAGGCCTTGATGTGTTTGCGTGACAAAAGGCTAAAACCAGCATCAGATACAGTTAGAGATAAATACACAGAGTAAGAAAACAAGAGGACAGATTAAAGGTTAGTCAACATCAACACGTTCTTAACTGACACGGTGAAAACTTGTACCATATTTTAGAACCTCGGGAGAACGACGACACTTTTATTTTAGGGTCATATTTTACATGAATTGCTGGCTTCACTTCCTAAAAGGGTTTCTTTAAAAAGGGTTTAATAATGCTTTATTAACAGATGGTTCATGTGTTAGTAAAAACTTTATAAAGCATTCATTATTTATAAAACAGTTATAAAACATGCCATATATTAAAGTAGGATCAGTATTTGGCAAGATGAAGTGCTGCACTTTTATTCGTTTGTTCATAATTTAGATGTTAATTTGTCAGTAAGTTACCTGAATGTAAAATTAAGCGTTTGTAGCAAAAAGTTTTATTTTATTATTTTAAAGTTGTTTTGCTTCAGGTGGAGGAGTTGAAGTATATGGGCTTCTTGTTCATGATGACAGGATGGAGTGAGGACTGGAATGACGGATTGAGACCGCGTCCTCAGTAATGAGGGCGTTGCTTCGGTCAGTTATTGTGAAGAAAAAGTTGAGGCAAAAGGCAAAGCTCTTGAGTAACTGTCTACATTTCAACCTTCACCTTTGGTCATGAGGTTTGGATCAAAAGATCGGGATCCCGGATACAAGCAGCCAGATTGAGCTTCATTTGCTCGAGCTCAGCCTTAAATATAGGGCGAGGAGTTCGGAGCAGCTGCTCTTGAACAATGAAAGGAGTCAGTTGAGGTGGTTCGAGTATCTGATTAGGATGTCTCTTGGACATCTTAGGTTTTCCGGACATGTCCCACTGTGAAGAGACAGAACTCGCTGGATTATACATCTTCTCTGGCCTAGAAATGTCTGAGAGTCCTCCAGGAGAAGTTGGAGAGTGTTGCTGGGGAGAGGGATGTCTGGGTTGCTCTCCTGGACCTGTTGCCTCTGCAACCCGATCATGGATAGGCGGTAGACGATGAAGATTACTTCAAACAATAAGCAGAGCAGCAACTTAGAACTACACGACCAAAGCGCTTGATCTCGCCAAATAGTGAACATGCTTTGACATATGAGCAGCTTTATTATTGATGGTTAATACTAATAGTGATTACAAATTTATTTCTAAAGCATCAATAAATCCTTGTTACAGAATATTTGAAGGCACCAGTTTAGAGGTGAGAAAGTAGGTCCGAAACAAATGCAGCTTCAGGCGTTTTCCATATAAAATAATAATTAGTGAATAACAGAACCTGGTTTAGAGTTATGCTAGATTATTCCTTCATGGATGGAAAAAAACAACATTCAGAAGTCATTTAAACGGGCTGCAAACAAACATTAAAGTAAATCGATGGTGGACCAGTTAAGCGCTGAGCAAACAGATTAATCATTAAACCACAGTTAGTGTTGAGAACATCTTTTGCCTAAACGTGTAGAGTCTGGCTCTGCTTTAGAGTAACAGATGGGAGCTGGGAGACTATTTAGTTGTTTTTTTTTGGCAAACAAGTAGATTGGATCGGACCGGATCGGCCCCAGCCTGAAATCCTTCAGCACCAAGTGCATTTTCCCCAAGAGGAGCGGCTGATAAAATGTACGACGACGACGATCAGATGAAAGGATTTTTGATGACTGAATCCAGAGATCTGCCATTTTTCTGCTGCTGCTGACAGAAAACAAGAGAAGATGGAAAAAATATTAATTTTGGTTGAATAACGTTCCAGCTGATTCAGTTTAGAGCACACTGTAACAACAAAACCTCTTTAAATTATATTTGTAAAATTATTGCTTTTAATCCTTCACGGTTTAGATTAAATAAACCAACTTTAAATCTAAAAAAAAAAAAATTCAAATTTCATGGTTTTTCGAGGTAAAAGGTCATATTTTGGAAAACGTTTAAAACATTTCATTGATGGCATTGCAGTACGACAAGTATCACCATTTCTCAGAGTTACTGTTGAGAGCTTAAGGTGGAAATACCACACGGATTGGATTTGTAGAAAAATGCGTAAATTGATTGGTATAATAAAGAGGGTTAGGCATTACATCACTACATAATGCTTGCTTACACTTTATTATAGTCTGATATACCCATATCTGTCTTATTGCAATATAATTTGGGGAAGTAGGTTTCCCACAACCTTGCATAAAATTGTGGGGCTTCAAAAACTGCTAGAATTGCAACTCGATCAGATTATCATTGTCCTTCTGCTCCTCTGTTTAATCATTTACAGATTCTTACTATTTATAACGTTAACATTTTTCATATTTGTATTTTTGTTAATAAGATTTATGCAAGTCAAGAGGATATACCAAAATATTTCACCCATTACTTTAAATCAAATATGCAGTTTCATTCTTACTTAACTCGTAAGAGTCCAGCGCTTCATCTTCCTAAATACCAGGTCAGTTTTCTCTCCGTTACACGGGAGCTAAAGTTTGAAATGATTTTTTCACATTTGGTAACAAGCAGGCCCTCTGGAAAAGAGTTTAAATGTCATTTAAAATTTTACTTAAAGAATTGCGATCGTCACTTTTTAATTCTTATATATTTTATTCAAATTTCCATTAATACTTTGTAGATGTGTTTTTTTCCTGTATGACTGTATTCTTTATATGCATCGGGTGGAGGATTTATATGAGTCCATTGAGCTTTTGCCTCTTCCTGCACAGTTATTTTTTTCTTAATATCTTTGATCTGTATTTTAATTGTGCAAACTAAACTAATCCAATAACAAAATATGTGTATGTTAGTTCGTTCAGCTCACATGTCTCTTTCTTTAAACAATCTAACACAAACAGGATTAGTAAAATATATCTGTTACGACACTGTCGCACCACATAGTCAGAGTTATTGATATACAGTGACCCTCTGGACTAAAAACTCGTTCTTTCTTAAGAAGATTTAATATTTTATCCAAGTAAATAAGTAAAAAAATAGCACAGGCCTTTCCTCACTCAATACATGAAGGTTGAAAAACTTTTGCAGTGGAACCTACATGGTGCTAAAACTCCATCATCTGCTATTTTTCTTTTTTTCCTCACTGGCTCTGTAACGAGGCGCACGCATTTCTTCCCTCTCCCCGTTCTCCTCCTGCTTTTTTGCTCTGTCTGTGTATCGGAGCAGCTCCTATTTTTATTTTTTTTTACACATATTCCGAAATGAAAATTACTGTTTTGGATCTGATCAACTGAACTTTCGACGCAAATGACAAAATCTTTTCAACAAAGCGACAGGGTCCTGGAGAACCCTCATCTGCTCGGACGACACGCATGCAGCTGGATATACTGCATCTCTGGGGAAGTGGAATGTGATGTGTCTACCTCTGCTGTCAATCGATATCATAACTGCAATTATGCAATTTCAGCGTTAACAGGTTACCTGTTTTTGGAACAGTCTGGATCCTGGTTTATCGACAGACAAAGAAGACGGCCGCAGCTAATTTGGCCCTCGTCGGGCTGCTGCCTATGTGAAGGTTGGTTTGTGCTTTGAGGACTCAAAATCAGCTGATTTACGAGCTAAACCGTAAAATGGAAGTGATTTGAATCACAGGCCACCTGCAGCTTTGAGACTTGTCAGCATGAAAACAACCTTGAAGAGGCTCGTAAGCACGGACCAGTAGAATACACCCTAATCTGGCCATTTCGGACCTTGGAAGTACCAGTAAAGACTCAAGGCTGACAAGAAAAACTAGTCTGCCTGAATAAATCAACAATTGTGGCTTATCTGAATCCGACTCCCCGGTTGGCCTCGAAACAGGCCGACATCAATTTCTCCTGGGAAATGTGTAAACTAAGGAAAAGTTATTGTTTATTGACAGATTAAATTAAAAAGAATAGAAATGTCTTTTCTCTAGCTTCAAATCGAGCTCAAGCAGCTTTAATAACCTTTAGATCACAAGATATAAACAGCACTTTTATTACCTACATAACTACAATCAAGCAATAAGTCAAACTAGATTAAATAAATTTAGTGTAAATCTAAAAACATCTGATATTATTTCAATTTTATTTAAAAAAATATTAAAGTTTGCTTTCTCTAGGCTGGAAGTATGTTTGTATTTATGCACCTGATGAGACATTTGGCATCAAAAGACAAGATTTTGTAAGTCAACAAATGGGAAAATAATTTAACATTCATTTATATATTGATTATTTGGACAAATTTTCTTTAAATACAATAACTTGTACCCACATAGTCTAAAAGAATGTGTAGAAATTCCAACTACTTGATAAAAACTATGTTCCTAATCTTTTATCACCATTTTTTTTTTCTTTACCACTATGTCCACCTCTTTCTTCTGCTATGATGTAGTGATGACAGTTCACACTGAGCCACGTAATCTTTTATAATCAGCAGATTCTGATTATATTCTGTTGTGTCAAAACCAAAACGAGAACAAATCCAAAACTTAGACCAACTCAACGAGAGGTCGTTTTTAAAACCACTGCTTTAATCATAATAATCATGTGGGTTCATACTCAAAATTTTCCTCTAAAAAGCAATATTTATGGTGTAACACAAACAGATGTACATTACATAATTAGTAACAGAAGGCAATAATTTAAAAAAACGTACGCAACAAAATATCACATGACCGACCTTTAGAAAGGCTCAACTCAAGGTGCAGCATGGGAAAATTTTTTAAAAACACATCGTTGCTGCAAAATTATATCTCCACTTTCACTGATTGGCATATTATACAACGTATATTAACTTGTATGATCAGTAAATTATCTATTATTTAAAAAAGCATTAAATTGCTAGTCACTTTATTTTTGAATAAGTGCTTAATGTAATTTTTGTAAGACTAACAGACCTGCAGTAGAAAATTAATTTCCCTGTCTTGCATGGTACAGCCATTAAGTGCAGGTATGATCAATGTATGAAGAACAGATTGGAGTCGCTCATTTAAAAAAAAATTACTGCTGCACAGGAGCGGCTGGAAGGTGTGGTGCTGCCTCACATAAAAAATTAATCCGCCCCACAAAATAGTTCCTTCTAATAAATCATGTAAATTACTTATATACTTAGAAAACTGAGGAAAAAGGAGTTTTTTTTTTAAAAAAAAAAAAGGAACATCTTGGCTGTGGTAGGTCAGTGGTAAAAGCTGCGGTCTTGTGTCTACAGGTTCAAACCCTGAGAGGATCTTGAAAAGTAAATCGTTTATATTTTTTAGTATTACTTCACAGAACTTAACTTTGTCCATCTGGGGTATTATTGTGGCACTATTACTTAAAATCAAAATGATAAATCCAGTTCAGAAAGTCGTGTACCTGCCTGTTTAAATTTACCCAGTTTAAATTACTCCTGTTTCTGGTGAAGGTGGATGTGGGAGGCCGTTTCTCTGATTAAATTATTAGTTTAATTATTAGACCAGACTGTTTTGACAAAATGTAACCTCGACCTGTGGGAGGAAGAGTAAAGGCAACAACTTTGTGCACAAAAAAAGCAATTAAATAAATATTAAGCAACATATAGCCTGTCTTTTTTTTTTTTTTTTTAACAGAACATGTGATCTTGGTAAAAAGACTGATTTAGAGTTTTACAACACTAAGGCCAAGTTCACTCTGCAGGTAATAATGCTCAGTTATTTGCTCAGATCTTTTATTTTTTGGCGTGGTTGTTCACATTATCATTAAAATGCGACCTCCATCAGACTCTATTGTGAACTGTTAGTTCTGAGGCGACCCGCATGCACAGAAGCAAATGTGAGGTCACAGAGCATGCTGTGTTTAAGGAAGTGAATACTGATGCTAGGCATGTTAGCAATGTGTGATCCTGAAGTTGTTGAGCAACCAGAACCGGTTAAATTATCATCCGACAGGATTGTTTGGTCCAGTGTTGACATTTGATTTTGCCTCTTGATGGTCAAGGCAGCGTTGTATTTTTGGAATGGGAGTGACGCACTGAATGGAGAAACAAACTCAAGTATCGGTCCATCACATCATCCAGGACATGACAAAAGAACAACGAAGAAGCAACTGGTCGTTTGTTCTGTAGCTGAAGACATGCAAGATTCAGACTGCACGAGGTTGGTATGCTTGTTTTTAATACTTGGATCAATCTGCTTACCCCTACCTCACTGACATACAAGTCGAATGAAATGAGACATGACCGTTCAGACTGCAGTCGCTTTAAAAAGCATTAGATCTGTATCAGTGCCACATAGGATAAAGATCTGGGTTGGATTTTTTTTTATTTTTTTATTTGTCACGTTCAGACTGTCATTACAAAACATGATATAGGTTGCATAAAAAATGGATTTGGGCCACATTTGCCAGTAGTGTGAACTTAATTTTCTGCCCACATTATCACGATGGGTGTAGTTTAATAGCAACACACAAAAATAAGAACCTAAAATGGACAATCAAAGGCACCAATACCTAGGCCTGTCGCGATAAACAAGAAATCAATTAATCGCATGATAAATGAAAATTATCGACTTCGTTTAAATTTTTTGACTTTATCGTTTCTTCGTCGCTCTCTTTCTACTGAAGACACTGGATGACAAAAGGCTCAGCTCCAGTGATCTTCACTGACCCCTCCCTTTCTCTTTAAAATTCATTTTAACATCCGAAATCGCGTTTTTGGATCTTAAAAGCAGCGACGCTGAGAAGCTACGCTACTGCCATCCGGTGGTCAGAAAAAGGTACTACATGCAAAACAAATTAACCAACGTTTCTTCTTAAATTTGACAAATTTTCAAACATTATTATCGTTTATCGCAATAATTTCTGAGACAATTAATCGCCCAGCAAAATTTGTTATCGTGACAGGCCTACCAATACCACTTCACTGCAAACCAAATTAAAATATACCAGCAAACATTCATTACAGGTTTTTTTTTTTTTTTATTGTGCCAAAAAACAAACTTCTGTACAAACATCACCTAAATGTGGTATTGGTCTCCTTCCTGGTGCAGTAAATAAACGAGAAAAGAAGCCATCTGACCTCAGAACAGAGAGCAGGATTTGGGGGGTCTGAAGGGATTATCACTGGAGGGGACCCCCATCAGCAGAGGGTCCTTAGAGGCGTTTTGGACACAGAAGTTTCTGAGCTCAGCAGCGGCCTGGGACACCTGCAGAGACAAACATATGGCGGCCTGTCAGGGAACATGAGGAGCATAAACACAACGTTTGTCTTCCTGCTGGAAACTCTGGCTCCTATAACGTTTGCATAACATTTGCAAGCAACGGAACAACACGGAAGTGGTTGTATCTTTGCTGCTTTTCCCATGAATACATTTCGGATAACTAAACAAACGAGTGTGACGTTAAGAAAACGTTTTCTCCACCTCGAAGCAGTGACTCCTTCTAAAAACAGACGGAGCAGAAACTCCTGCGTAACTTTACATGACGCTTTGATGGATCTACGTCAGACAAAGTCCACTTTATGTCATTTCAACAGTCCGCTTCCGCCATTCAGCGGCGATCTTCCGTGTTTTTGTGTCAGATCGGGGCTCGTACCTTGATCCTCCGGATACTGGCCTCTAACCGGAGCTGCTTCACGGCCCTTTGAGCGATGATAAGGTTGCTGCTTGCGTTGTTGTTGGACATGGCGACGGCAGTCGAGGTTTAAAACGGTAAATGTCGTTTTAAATAAACTTCCACAACCTCAGCGGAAATGACTCCGAACTGCTCCGAAACTCCGTGCTAAACTGGGAAACTACGTTTGCACATGTCCCCGCCCACTTTACCCCCACGCGCTGCAATATATTGGCTTCTGGGTCCGTCAATCAAAGAAGAACGTTGAAGCCACGCCCCCTAAAAGCACAAGCCATTATTATGAGTTTCCTAGAGAGCAAAGGAGGTCAAAACTTGACCTTTAGTGGTGGCACACAACCACTTCATTTACCTTACACCAGTATAGCTCTTTACTGCATTTACTATTCATGCAATATTCTGTGGGAAATACCATACAAATCAACCAGACAGTCCTGAAAATAAAACTTTCAAATACCCTGTTGCGTCATATTTTATTGGTAATAAACCGAGGTTATTGCTGTTCCTATGTAAACAAGTGTTAAAAGGCCTTAAAGTTAATTGGCAATGACTATATTCACAAGCTGTTACTCTCAAATTAAATATTGCGAAATTCTGTCACTCTCTTGAACCATTTCTGCAATATATATCAAACGGTGCAGTTTGGACAACTTTACTCTGGTAGTTTTCAAGGTATATTTTTCATTAATTCATTCAACTTTTAGACTTCTTGTTTGAAAACAACATCGCTTTGGTTTTATCAGCAGCATTTAGCACCAGTTTGTGATGGAACAAATCTGACTGGATGATGTTGAACACAGACTGTAAGAGCTGAAAAACCTTAGCAGCTGTTTTAGCTCGACAATAAACAACTGTGTCATCGGCATAGAAATGTAAGGATGCATCAGGAATGATCTGACCTACATTACTTATGAAGATTGGGAAGAGGGTGTGTCCTAAGACTGAGCCTTGTGGTACACCATTGTTGACAGTTAAATAGCTGGAAGAAGTACCATTACGTTGAACACATTGCCTCCAATCTGACAGGTAATTAGAAGAACAACCGATAGGGTTAGGGATATTGAATGCAATTCTAGAATGCGGATTCACACTCAGTGTAAACAACACAGCTAAATCTGCTGAAAACCATGTGTGAGCTTGAGTCAGATGATTGACATTAGGCTGGTCATAGTCTGTGTAGGTGAACAAAAATGGCAGGACTGGACAAGCATAGAATCAAAGAAAAGATGTTTAGACAAATGTAGGAATGAATCTGCTGCTAAATACTAAAGAAAAGAGACATAATGATTTAGTCTACTCTCATGGATAAATATATGGGATGTATTAGGGCGGTGGAGTACCATAAAGTAAGGGCTCCACAGAGTACGAAACGTCTGCTATACAGTACAGGTATGTTTACCTATTTTTATTAACTTTAGCTGTTACTGTAGGTAAACAAACTCACATGGGAGTTAACTGGTCACAAATGTGTAATTTAAGAGCACATTACATTAGTTTGATATTTCTTGTTCAGTCTTCATGGCATTGCAATGAGTATTTTTAACCAAATCTATCAAGAAAACTGTTTTTCCATTGTCCCAACTCACAGTTCACTTCCACTCTGCAGTGGTTTTCAATATAACTTGAAAGCTGCCTTGATGTGGGTAGAATCGTCAAAGCACAGCCGCCTGAAACGTCTGTGATGCTATTTTTTAATCATGGCAAACACAACACAGCAGTAGGCAAATAAGTGAAATAAAGTCACAAAACACCATCTTTTGCCATGTTTCCATAGATGCCTTGACTGAATTGAGGCCACCTCCCATTCGCATGTCGGAGCCCATAAATCAAGTCCATTTGTTCTAGCTCCCTTTGCATTCTGTCGTCAGTCAACATGCTCGGAAATGTCTGCATGTCCTCATAAAATTACAGTGTTGGTTTATGTGTTGCCATTTTAATGGATTCAAAGCTGCTGAACCCATCACTAATTAAAAGTTCCCGAGTTCTTACAAAATCCTACATAGCTGCTGGTGTTTTTCATTCTATTTTTAATTTGAATCAATCACCCAGACTAATTTCTATCTCCACAAATATGTTTGGGTTTTTCCACTATAAAACAATGACTCAGAAAAGATAGTTTGTTTTATGCACAAGTTTGAGAATTCTTGATAAAAATTCTTGTGCAAACTTTAAACCTCTCAAACAATCAGTTTACTTGCACACTTGATCTTGTGTTATTTAGGAGGTCTAGAAGGCCCAGAAGTGGAAACTTGAAGAATGCGCCTATTTTTATAGCAGACCATAACCATGTGACACAGTTATCAGATCAAGAGATGGAAAAACAGGCAAGCCTTCAGCTGATCACACTATCAGCTAGGAACTAATCACTAATCCTCTGGAAGAGACTGGTCATGAGAGTGTGCAGCATCAGAGGTCAGCCCCAGATCAACCTGCTCCTGCTGGCCATGAAGCTGGACTGCCAGGCCCAGACCCCAAGATGGGCCCACTGTATCCCTACGGGGGTCAACTGTACATGTTATCAGATCCTCCCTTACACAGCTGTGACCAGCCTGGAAGGAGTGAAGCTATATGTTTTGGTAACCAGTTTCGGCTAATGTGAGAAGGCATATACTGAAGATAAGTTGGACCATAGAGACTGATGGGAAGTGAATCAACGTGCTTTTGTGTGTGCTTTAAGTGTACTTTTTTCTTTATTCCATAACCAGAGAAAGGTGTCCCTATATATATATATATATACATGTCACTCTATCTCTGTGGCATTGTTTTGATAAGCTTCTGCCATGTTACAAGATCTATTTCCATCCACTGTTGCAATATTTTAATTTTTCACCAAGATCTTGCACTGATGACTAGGCACTGGGCATGATGGGTGCATCACTTCACCTGCCTCTCTTCTTACCTTGATGCGCCCATCACTCTGGAACAGGGTAAATCTGTACTCATCAGACCACATGACCTTCTTCCATTGCTCCAGAGTCCAATCTTCATGCTCCCTAGCAAACTGAAGCCTTTGTTTCCGGTTAGCCTCACTGATTACAGCTGTTCAGTCCCAATCCCTTGAGTTCCATTCACACTGTGTGTGTGGAAATACTCTTGCTTTCACTATTAAACATAGCCCTGAGTGCTACTGTTGTTTTTCTTCAATTTGATTTTACCAAACGTTTAAGTGGTCACCGATCACGATCATTCAGGATTTTTTTCTGTCACATTTCTTCCTTGAAGACGATGGGTCCACTATCCTTCCAGTTTTTAACAATGCGTTGGACAGTTCTTAACCCAATTTTGGTAGTTTCTGCAATCTCCTTAGATGTTTTCTCTGCTTGATGTTTACCAGTGATTTGACCCTTCTCAAACAGACTGCCATCTTTTCCATGACCACGCGATGTGCCTTTCGACACGGTTGTTTAAGAAATGAAAAGCAACCATTGCACCAGCTGGGGTTAAATAACTTGCTTCCAGCCCATGCAGTAATTATTCTATAGGAGGCTCGTACCTCTTTGCTTAGTTAAGCCCAAGTGGCAACTTTTTTTTTGGCCAGGCAGTGTGTGTATATATCACCATTTTCATATAGATACCTTTAACATTGATATCTAAAAAAGTTAAGTTTGGTCCTCTGGATATTCAAAAAAACAAAACAAAGCAAAACAAAAAAGATGTAGAAAGAAACGTTTCGTCTTTCATCCGAAAGACTTCTTCAGTTTGAGGTGCTGTATTCAGCTCAGTCTTATAAATAGCACCTTCTCATAGTGGATCAACCAGTTTGCTGCTGACAGCTGAATACAGCACCTCAGACTGAATAAGTCTTTCGGATGAAAGAAGAAACGTTTCTACATTTTTTTTTTTGTTTGTTTTGCTTTGTTTTGTTTTTTTGAATGTGCAGAGGACCAGACTTAACTTTTTTAGATTTTTCTACCTGGATTATTGAGCATGCATCAAGATATTTAACACTGATAGTTACCTTGCTGGAATGAGCATAGACAGAGAACAAGGATTTTAACTGAAATAAGTTCCATCCATCCATCCATCCATCCATCCATCCATACATTATCATCCTCTTGTTCCAAAGTCGGGTCGCGGGGGCAGCAGCTTGAGCATTGATGCCCAAACATCTCTTTCCACAGCCATCTCTTCCAGCTCTTCTGGGAGGACTCCAAGGCATTCCCAGGCCAACCAAGAGTCAAAGTTTCTCCAGCGTGTCCCCCCCCCCGCCCTGCCCCCCGAGGTCTTCTCCCAGTTGGACATACCCAAAGCACCTACCAAGGGAGGTGCCCAGGGGGCATCCATACCTGATGCCTAAATCACCTCAACTGGCTCCTCTCAATATGGAGGAGCAGCGGTTCCATTCCGAGTTTCTCCCAGATAACTGAACTTCTCATCCTATCTCTAACAAAGAGTCCAGAAACCTTGGAGAGGAAACTCATTTCAACCACCTGTATCCACAATCTCATTCTCTCTGTCACTACCCAGATCTTGTGAACATAGGTGAAGGTAGGAACGTAGACCGACCAGTAAACAGAGAGCTTTGCCTTACAGCTCAGCTCCCTCTTCACCACAACTGATGGGTACAGAGTCCGTAATACTGCAGATGCTGCACCAATCTGTCTGTCAAACTTACGCTCCATTCTTCCTTCACTCATGAGCAAAACCCCAATATACTTGAACTCCTCCTCTTGAGGCACTCGCCCTCGACCTGGAGAGAGCAATCCACCCTTATCCTGTTGAGGATCATGGCCTCAGAATTGGAGGTGATGATTCTTATCCCAGCCACTTCACACTCAGCTGCAAATTGCTCCAATGACAGCTGAAGATCATGGCACAACGATGCCAACAGGACCACATCATCTGCAAAGAGCAGAGATGGAATCCTGAGACCACCAAACCGGAATCCCTCCACCCCCTGGCTGCACCAAGAAATTCTGTCTATAAAAGTTATGAACAGAATCAGTGACAACAAGCAGCACTGGCGGAGTCCAACTCCTACCCTGAAGGGGTCCAACTTACTACTGGCAATGGGGACCAAACTCTCGCACTGCTTGTACAAACATCCTGCAACAACGGGCCCCCAATCCCATACTTACAGAGTACCTCCCACAGTGTACCCTCAGGAACACATTCAAATGCATTTTCCAAGTCCACAAAACACAGACTGTATATGAAAACTCCCATGACCCCTTGAGGACCCCAATGAGGGTAAATAGTTGGTCCAGTGTTCTACGGCCAGGACAGAACCCACATTGTTCCTCCTGGGTCTGAGGTTCAACCAAATATCGGACTCACTTCTCCAGTAACTCTGAATAGACCTTTTCAGGGAGGCTAAGGAGAGTGATGCTCCTGTAATTAGAGCACACCCTCTGGTCCCCCTTTTTGAAAAGGGGAACCACCACCCTAGTCTGCCAATCCAGTGGCACTGCCCCCGATGTCCGCACCATGTTGGAAAGGCGTTTCAACCAAGCCCCACAACATCCAGAACATTAAGGAAATCAGGGCAAATCTCATCCACCCCCGGAGCCTTGCCACTGCAGAGTTTTATAACTAACTAGGCAACCTCAGCCAGAGTTATGGACAGACCAACCTCGAAGTCCCCCCAACTCCACTTCCTCCATGGAAGATGTGCCAGTGGGATTGAGAATGTCCAAAAAATATTCTTTCCACCTCCCAAAAACATCTCTGTTGAGGTCAACAGCACTCCACCTTCACTGAACACAGTGTTAGCAAAGAGCTGCTTGCCCCTCTTCAGCCGCCTGATGGTTTGCCATATTCTCCTAGGAGCTGACAGAGTCGTTATCTAGGGCCTCACTGAACTCCTCCCACAACCGAGCTTTTGCCTCAGCAACAGCCAAGGTTGCTGACAGCTTGGCCCTCTGGTACTCAACTGCCTCTGGAGTCCCACCAGCCAACATGGACAGATAGGACTCTTTCTTCAGATTGACAGCCTCCTTAAACCGGGGTGTCCACCACGAGAAGCACAGACAACCTTGCAGCCACAGCTCAAAGCAGCCACTTCCAACAATTGAATCTTAAAACATGGCCCACTCAGACTCGACATCCCCTACCTCAGCTGGGATGCAGTTAAAGCTCTCCCGGAGGTGTGAATTGAAGATCTTTCTGATGGGTTATTCTACCAGGTGTTCCCAGCAAACACTCAGTACACGTTTAGGTCTACCGGGTCTGTTTGGCATCTTCCCCCTCGAACTGATCCAACTCACTAACAGGTAATCACTTGACATCAGCTCCTCTTTTCACTGAGGGTCCTAAACAAACGGCCCCACACAGATGACATGACTACAAAAGTCAATCACTACACAGTCTTAACTTTCCCCACCAGGTCACATTGCATGTCCCAAGAGCCAGTTTTAGTAAGCCAGGTTCAGACTGCTAAGGTCCACACCTATAGCCATCGCCCATGGATTCGTGCACCCTCCAGCAGGTGGTGGGCTAACAGGAAGGCAAACCTATGTTGTGCATTCAGGCAGAGTCTGAGCCGGTCACTAGGCACTTGCTGATAAGCCCCACCCCCAGGTCTGACTACAGGGTAGGACTCCTAACCCACATCAAGACAAAAGGACACCGAATTCCTTAGTATTCATACAAGTCTTCTGGAAAAGGAGACCCGTCATTTGCAGTGACAATTACAACTGGCTCAACCAGGAAAATTTCTATTGGGACCATCCAAAATATTCTCTAAGGCATCCCCACATCAAATGACCAGAGTTCCATGCCACCCACCACTGGAACTAAGGAAAATACCATAGCAGCTGAGCAAGGACATTGTTCAGTTACAATCATGTTGCAAGTTAGTCGTCAGGTATTGAATCTAAGGTTCCTTGTTTGACAGATTTTTTGGAAAAGGGTGTCCACCACATCTATAAAACAGCCTTGCTTGTAAAAATTTGTGTTCCACCTATAACCCGTCTTTACAATTAACACAAGGAGAATATTTGGTCATTTTACACAGTAGTTTAGTTTTATTAAAAACCAGTCACGTTGTGGGCTTCGTCGCCTGCAGTCACGTTGTGGGCTTCGTCGCCTGCAGTCACGTTGTGGGCTTCGTCGCCTGCAGTCACCTCCACTTCATTGGTTTCCAGGTACACTAAAAGCATTTTACAGAGTTTCAGTTTTGTCTAGAATTTTACACTCATCTTTAGACCCTGATCATTTAAGAGTTTTTTTTCTCCAGCACCTTAGCCAATTTTCTTTTCTTTACCTTCTTTAGCATGTTGCTTCAGCCTGGCATCCTTTGACTGGAAAAATGCTATGACATTTTTTAGGGCAATATCATTCGGGGACAGATCTGAAGAAAAAAAACAAAAAAACAAAAAAAAAAAACACCTTTAGAAACACTCCTTTTATGAACATTTATCTACCCCCACCACCTTCTTACCATCTTCCATCTTTTGTTCCTCATGATCTGCCCTGTCATTTGGCACATCAATTGGTAAACATGAACCTGTGAACACAGGTAAAATTTTAGTTAATGTCAAAAATTCACCAACTCCAAAAAAGGACGGCATTTTAGTCAAACCCTACAGCTGTGTTGAAAGCACAGACACTTCTTAGTTTACAATTATCAAAGTGGCCTGATTCTCAATCAAGATGAAATTCTCTAAAAATTTGGGATTCTGCTAGTTAAGAGTCCTGTTGCCTTTGATTAATCAGCATCACCATTATTGAGGATCTTGCTTAAGATTTCCTGTAAGAGCCACCTACACAAGACCTCAAGCAAGTTTTTTGGTTCTCAGACAGGCAGAGATAAAGAGCAAGTTAGAAGCTGAAATTAAAGCTGCTGCTGCTGCTGCTGCTCATCCACATTTTCATACACAGCTCCCATTCACAACAAATTCATCAACTTTAAAATAACAAAAATAAAACATAACATTGCACAAACCTTTTCTGAGCCACACAGCCACCAAACAAATAATCAGACCACGAACAACCCCCATGATTCCTGTCTCTGACTGAAGGTGCAACCAACATCTGAGCTTTAAATCCCTCAAGCTGCAGGATTCACAGCTGTGTGTAATCTGTGGTGATTGGTTCACTCCAAAAAATGTTAAGTCAATGCATAGTACAACTCAAGGTATTATTCTGTTGGTAAATAAAGTATTTCATATATGGCCAGAGAGTGAATTTTTTAGTGCAAGTAGTGAAGATTGTAACTAAGGGCAGCTGAAACAAATAAAATTTGATTTTGACAATTTGTTGAAAGTCTCAAACACTTTCATCAAAAACAGCTACTGATCTACTGATTCAAATTAAAGAGACTTAAATTTTAGATGTGGTTATATATATATATACATATATATATATATAGAAGAATCATTTTTGAATCATGTTATATTTATTTTTTATACTTATTGTGTGTCTATGTCAAGTTTCTTGTCTGGCAATAAAGCTGACTCACCTCACTGTAACCAAATCTCCGTCAATCTCCATAAAGTTGACGGATCCTTTGGCATACCTAAGAATTAAATTTGGTTCCATCCGTATTAAAGGACGATACGAGTTGCATATTAATTGTAGAACTTTGGGATTTCTATATCTAAAAGACTTTGTAAAAAATATGATAAAATAAATAAATCTGAATCGTGTGAGTGAATTATTGTAAAGTTTATAACCCAGTTCAGCATATCACCTTTTATCTTTAGTATGAGGATGTTGCTATTAAAATGCAAGTTTCTTTCATAAAAAAAATTAATGTAAGTTGTTTTTACAGCATATTGTGGTAGAAGATGTATTTGTGTTCCTGTGGCAAGGTCTGTATTGTTGGAAAAAAAACAAAAAACTTTTTGTGAATTTTCAGAAGAACTTTTGATCACAGGTATCTTTATGCAAAATGTTCTCAACTGCAGGGAAGTCCAGATTATTATTATTATTTTTTTTGTATCTGGTTTTTAATGTTATTTTTCATTTTCATTGTCATGGTAAACTTTTAAAATCTGCTTTTTGTCTTTAATGAATGGTTTTATTAAGCTAATCCAGTGATTTTCACAACAATTTTTTTTTTGCCATGAAGTCGAAGTGAAAACTTTAACTCCTAAATTTTGAAACAAGTAAACATTCTGATATAAATAAAACACACATGCATTTAAGATAAATATGTTTTTTATTCAGTAGAAATCCCTTTGTACACATATAGCAATGCCCACATCATTTTTTTTTTACTATTTATATTTACTATATATTTTACTTGGAAGAAGCACTTTACCAATATAAAAACAAGAAACAAGTTTCAAGCGAATAAATAACAAAACTAGATGTATTAAAAGTTATCATTTGTTGAAGTTTAATGTTCATTTACATGATCATCTTAGCAAAAATCTGATTTGGTCCTTACAATAACAGCGAGTAATCTTTTACAACACATGTAAAAAAATAAAAAACACCCTAATGTACATTAAAGTAAACTTCTTTTGGTGTTGTGCAACAGGAATGTATTGTAAAATGTTATGTGCAAGTTGCTGTTTTAAAATCAGACAGAAAGACTTGTTTCCTGTCAGTAAAAGTGGCCACTTAAGGTCAAAGTCCTAAAAATCCAAGTGAAAACACACCACGGATCAGCTTCAGACATCTCCTCACAGATGGTGGTGCCGCAGTTTGTACTTTATTCACTGAGAAGAATTACTGTCTCCATCTGCAGGGCCTCTTCCACACTGTCTGTAAACATGAAGCCCTGCAGATCAGCTGCAAGAAGAACCTTCAGGACGGAGGACTGAACAGCAAGGGAGACAGAGAAACAAATACAAGTTAACATGAACTCCATTAGTACAACAAGCTGTAAAGACTGGGATGTACCTGCAATCCTGCAAACGTTAAACTGACTTTCCGCAGTTTGAACTGCTTCAGCAGGTCCCTCAGCTCATTGATCACCGTGTAATCTATGATGCTCATATGATGGCAGTCGAGTACCACTGACCGTGGAGGAAACACTGAGAGAGATGAACGGGTGAGTAACTGACGGAGGGAAAGAAACCTCACCAATCAAAGAACTCCTTACCCTGCAGGGCCTGAGTGTGAACGATGTGACTGAGATACTCCACTGCAGGAAAACTGAGGCCACTGCTCAGCTCCATCACCACCACACCATGATCAGTCACCTGCACACAGCAGCAACACGTTAACACAAAAAGCTGCAGACACAATACGCTACACACTCGTGGCAGGGAGGAGTTACTGCTGCTTCTGATGTCAGCTTCGATTCAAGACAAATAAAAATGTTTGAGGAACCAAACTCTGTATCAAGTTTAACTAAATATTAAAGACAAAAATTATATGATAATTCCTACTTGTTGTAATTTGGTATCTGTGCAGAGTTGTTTAAGAGATTATCTGATTGTGATTTAGGTGGCAACCTACATCACCCCTTGCAATCTGTCAGCACTGAGGATGTGTTTTGGATGACTCTCAGCTAATTCCACACCATATTTTAGTTCAATATTTGAAAAACTGACTGATTTATAGTTACATTTCTAGTAGCTAAAGTCAGTCGGCTGTGGCGGCCATCTTAAATTTCGTTGACAACAAAAATTAATCAGTTGTAGACGTATATCCAATAATTGCTTTCTGAGAGTTTTTATTAAAGTCTGACCACTGAATTGTGACATATTTTGCTAACAGACAGAGAGGGTTGACTTCAACAGTTAAAGCCAACACTTTGCATATGTGTTGTTGATGATTTTCAGCAACTACCACACCAAATGTGAGCTCAGTGTCTGTAAAACCGACCGAGTTGTCGTCATTTTTGTGTCGACTAAGGTCAGTTAGCTGTGGCAGCCATCTTGAATTGGGCTGGCTTCACCGTTTTACGATATGTTGCTAACAGACATGCAAGCAAACACACCAGACAGTGGGGCACAAACCCTACTGCAGATATGGACAGCCTTATATAATGACTGTAGTACCTTTATTTTGGGTCTGGCCATGCTGTACAGCAGCAAGACTCCAGAAATGGCCACACCTGCCATGATGCCGTACTGCACCTCCCAGAAACTCAGCAGGAACGTCACACCGAAAGGCAGAAGGTCCAGCTCTGCGGAAGACACGTCCAAATTCCATTAAACTAACAAACACATGCGAGACACGTTTAAACAATGGACTACACGGATACAGATACTTACTATGTATCCTCCAGATCTTTGCCACGACTCGGTAATCCACCATTGGAGCTACGGCACAGACGATGACGGCTGCGAGGGAAGCCTTGGGGATGTAGTAAAACGCTGGCATGAGGAATGCTAAGGACAGCAACACAATCACACCTGCAGCGATGCAGAAAGAAGATAAACTATGACCAAATTCAGAAACTCAGATAAAATAAGAAAACTAAACCATGCATGAGATGGTTTAGAATTTAAATAATATTACTGTAAATGAAAGCATGCTGTTTAACTTAGTAAAGAAAGTTATCTGTGATAATTTGTTTGAAACCAGAGGAATATTTTTACCTCTTTCTGTTAAAAGTAAAAAGTCTTGTTTAATGGCTTTATGTGGTAAAATAAAGTTCCTTGTTATGAGTTCATTTCAGTGATAACACTTTATTTCCTGCAGAATGATCAGATGAACAAAGAGCATAGTTCTTTCATTGTAAAGAAAAGTTCTTTACATCAATAAAAGTCCTGTTGGGTGGCACTGAATTTTGGGTTTTGAGTCCTAAAACTAGAAAAATACTTCAAGAGTGGTTCCCACACCTCGTAGAAGTTACCATTAGAGTCAATAATGACCTAACGTTTTTTCTAAGACTTAAACAGGCCATGAGAACATGACACTGTTAAAGCAGCGACGTCATTCAGGCATAAAAAGGTTTCTGAACCAAAGGATGAACCAGTTTTACATCCGAATGGTCCCCAATTCATAAACGTTCAGGTGTCGTTCATCTGCTGTAAACAGCTTTTCAGGCTGAACACTTTTATTTTAGTTTTCAGCTTGTTCACTTTCACCATGAATGATCCTCACACCGCATAATGGGTTGTCACGGTCAGAGACAAAGACTGGACTGAAAAAAGCAACAAACAGCCAAATACAAACTGTAAAACATCTGGAGAACCACTGTTCCAGATCACTTCAAAATGGTTTCAGGAAAGTCTATCTCGATGAACGATGAAGTAAAAAGATGAAAACTCACTGGTGACAATTCCACCAGCCGGAGTGCAAACCCCTGTCTGAGAGTTCACAGCTGTCCTGTTGTCAAGAAAAAAAGGCCATAATATTAATATTTCACTCCCCGTTTGATCTTTTAATAAAATTAAACAGACAAACCTTCCAAAACTACCGGTGACGGGGTACGCCGACACAAAGGAGCCCATGATGTTCGTCACGCCGATGGCCAGCAGCTCCTGGTTAGCGTCAATCCTATAGTTGTTCTGACTGGCTGAGCAAAAGAAGAAGTTCAAATCAGCCGTTAGTCAGAAGACGTCCATTCAGTTTGTCCATGAGAATATTTTATGAAACATGTTGCAAAAGCTGTTTGATCAAATATCTGCTAAAAAAAAAAATCAAAGTTCCTGCTCAGTAATCCAGGTAAAAAAAAAAATCCATCAAAGTTCAGTCAGGTCCTCTGGAAGGTTTCTTTGTGTTGAAACTTTTCGTCCTTCATCCAAAGGACTTCATCAGTCACAACAAACTCAGTCCCACACGCAGCACACTCCCATAGTGGACCAACCAGTTTAATGGTGATAAGGGGAGAAACCATCTTATCACCATCAAACTGGTTGGCCCATCATGTGAGTGTGCTGCTTGTGGGACTGAGTTTGTTGTGGCCTCTCCGACTGATGAAGTCGTTTGGATGAAGGACGAAACCTTTCAACACAAAGAAACCGGCAGCACGACGGCTCAGTGGTTAGCACTGTTGCCTCACAACAAGAAGGTCCTGGGTTCAATCCCCGGTTGGACCTGGGGTCTTCTTGTGTGGAGTTTGCATGTTCTTCTCGTGCATGCGTGGGTTTTCTCCAGGTACTCGTTTCCTCCCACAGACCAAAAACATGCATGTTAAGATGCCTTCAGGCCCAGGCCTCCCTTGCAAAAGAGACCTGTGACCTCAATGGGATTTGCCTGGTTAAATAAAGGTTAATAATAAATAAATAAATAAAACCTTCCAGAGGACCAGACTTAACTTTGTTGGATCTGCTCAAAAAGTAGTGATTATCTGACAGAAGACTGTTGTCAGTAGAGTTATGTGGATCGTATAAGATTAAACAACTTACCAAAAGCTTTGGCAATAGCGATGCTCTCCAGCAGACCCATGAGAGGAATCACAGCCAGTCCTCCTCCAAAGCCCTGATGAAATAAAAAGAGAAGAAGAAGACCGGTCAGCTGCACCTCCAGGACAAAGTCAGAGAAGTGGATGTTGCTGATCCGTTCTTCCGTCTGCTTCTTACCTTTACAATCTCGCCAAAGGAGATGACGGTTCCATTAGATGTTGTGTCTGAGGTGGGCGGGGGGCTGAACGGTGGGAGTCCCTGGGAAGTGTGCCCGGTGATTGTGAACACATGATAACCGTAAGCATCCCAGGAATACGCAACAAGCGACGCAGCGATGACCACCAAAGCATTACGCACTGAGCAGAACGAACAGGAAATGGAGTAAACGTCAACAACAACACGTGATGCGTTTTATGCTGTTTCTACGAGATGAGTACTGACTGGTCGCAACGGCCCACACTAGTTTCGTGGCAAAGCCTGAGCAGGTGGAGGCATCGGCAGAGGCCAGGTGGGACTTCATAAGCATCAACATGATCAACAGGGCGAGACAAAGCAGACCCAGGACCACATCGCCCACTCTGGCTTCAGGGATCTTGTAGAAAGTGTAATAAACCTCCAGGAAGAACTGCTGAGGAACACCACGGATCCCCAGAATATTCTACGGACACAAAAAGTGACAACAGAAACTCAACAGGTAAATGAGGAGCCTAAAAAGTTAAACAACATTTAAAGTTACTGAGTTTGAAAAAATAAAAAAAACTACTTGGCAGGATTGACCTACAGCTGACCGTAATCCATCAGGAAACTAATCCGGCGTTATCGGGCAAGAGTAAAATCTCTTTAACAAAACTTTTAAAATGTGAGTTTACTGCTAAATGTGAAAGAAGAAAGGTTGAATAAGACGACTGTAAAGAATAAATATCAGGGATCAAGCAGGGTGGTGGAGCGCCATGAAGACATAAACAGCTTTTGTGAAACTCCCAACAAAGTTCAGTCAGGTCCTCTGGATGGTTGCTTTATTTGTTGAAACATTTCGTTCTTCATCCAAAGGACTTCATCAGTCCGAGGAGCCACAACAAACTAAGTCCCACAAGCAGCACACTCACATAGTGAGCCAACCAGTTTGATGGTGACAAGATGGTTTCTGGAGTCCACCTTCTCCCCCGTCAACTCCTCTGAGGCAGCCATGGCCAAACTGGTTCAAAACAGCAAAATTCATGCTCAATAATCCATCCATCCATTATCTTTTACCTGTTTCTTCCATTTTGGGTCACGGGGGTCACCGGTGCCCATGTCCAGCAATCACTGTGCGAGGGACAGGATACACCCTGGACAGGTCTCCAGTCCATCACATGGACACATAAAGACAAACAACCATTCACTCTCTCACTCACACCTAGGGACAATTTAGAGTTACCAATCAGCCTAACATGCATGTTTTGGTCTGCGGGAGGAAACCGGAGTACCTGGAGAAAACCCACGCATGCACGGAGAGAACATGCAAACTCCATTCAGAAAGACCCCCAGACCGGGATTTGAACCAGGGACCTGCTCACTGAGAGGCAGCAGCTCTACCAGTTGCACCACCGTGCTGCCTGCTCAATAATCTAGGTAGAAAATCCAACAAAGTTCAGTCAGGTCCTCTAGATGGTTTCTATTTTTGTTTTGTCTTTCATCCAAAGGACTTCATCAGTAGTACAGCTTTTGTGAACTTCTGCTAAACCGACAGGTTTATCATTTAACTTTTTACAACTCTAGACTAACATCAAAAGACTTTACTCAACAAATCTGAGCCAGCAGATCAAAACTTCTTGTTTACATTTGGCTCTTCCAGCGTTCCCAGTTTTTCATGAAAAAAATGTCCCCCGAGTTTTCCCTGATTCTTCCCTGAGTAATTTCTGAAAATCCAGGAGATATTTCAGCCACACAAAACACTCAGAACTTAGCGTTTTGGGTTGATTGCATAAGGCAATCATTCCTATTAATTATTTAATCATGTTGTATAAAATCAGAAAATAAAATGTCATCATAGCCACTCAGTAAGGATACTGTACACTGTAGAAGCAGAACACGGACTCAATGATAACAGAATACTGGCATTAATACATGAAGACGTCAAAATCTCATAAAGATCTTCTTTTAATTAGCAGATCAGTGTTTAAATTCCCTGAATTTTCCTTGTCTGGAAAATGTGAAAGCCACTTCTCAGGTTTTCTGTGATTTCCAGTTGCTGGGAAACTGTCTCCCATGTATGTTTCCACAGGTTAAAAACATGTAGTAGTTGGCATCCAGTCACAAACTCTGCTTGCATTTTTGTATTTATTTTATTTTAAGGACTTTTAGTCTTCATGTTTTTGCAGTGAATACCTTTAAGTCCTATTTATAAAGTTTTATTATTCTGGTTATTTTTTTTTCTTTCAGTTTCTGTGCTTGGCACCAACACACAGGCCTCAGGTCCTTCATCAGAAAGTTTCTCGCTTAAATGTGATCAGATGCAGACCAGGAATAGAAAACCGTTTGGCTCACACGTCTCACTTTGAGACTTCTGTATCATTCAGTTCAGCGCATGTGCAAAACATGAAATGATGCAACCTATATACTTTTTCACACTTTACAATGAAGAGAAGATCGCTGAGTCTGCTCATGTGTGGAGCATGTTACAGAGAGCTGAGGCACAGAGGCACAGCCCAAGCTTCATCCACCAACTATGGATTTTAGCAGATAAAATGTGTATGATTCAGGGCAACAATTTTTCATTAGTTTTTGTCTCCACATGATTGAATGTGACGACCTGACCAATTCAAACAGAGAGCGAGCCTCACGTCAGCAAACACTTCACAAGAAAACACATGGTGAGAAACGAGGCGTTTGCTTAGTAAAGAGTCTGCAGCTTTCTGAGTGGAGTTAGACATGCTGCTGTAAAAAAATAAAGCTACAGCTGTGAAGTACTTATAATCAACTCCAGTCTAAGCCATCGACATGTAAGGAGATACTGGACCAAAGGTTAAGTCTCACCTAATCCCCACACACAATCCTGGTGAACTTAAAACTTGAACGGAGACCAGACTGTATATATATGTCCCCTCTCTGTCTTCATCTTCAGGGTTCTTGTACGGTGTTCAGTATTTTCCTACATGTCGATGGGCTAAGTCTTATGAAATCTCGTTGAAGCAGCATAATGAAGGCTAAAATAGCTCTAGTGATTGCCAACGAAACAACAGGCACAATACCAAAACACTCATCATCATCAGTGAGTCAAATAAGATATTAGACCAATTTGACATATTATTGTAACTGTTGTGTGTTTGTGTTTAACCTCACTTTGACCTGGCCAAAGCCAATGGTTACTGCAGCAGCACAAGTGAAACCTTTTATTACAGGGTAAGAGATGAAGTCCAGCAGGAATCCTGCAGAAAACAAGCAGAGAAATCCCAAATTTTGTTAAGATTTACACATAACAGTTTCTGTAAAGTCAGTTTAAAAGAATGAATTATGTAACATTAACAGTTCTTACTCTTAAATTATACAGAAGTGATGCGAAACTATTCAATCAGGTGTGCTTAGTTTTATTTTGTAAACCTGCTTCTCGAGATTTGATTAATTTCGGAAAAGAAATCTCCAACACTGGATTATTTTGTCTTTTAGCAGCAGTTTTCTCACCTAATCTGAGTAACGCCATCACAGCCTGGATGAGTCCACAGAGGAGGCTGAGCAGGACGGCTCGGTGGGGCTGCCCCCCCACCACAGAGAAACACAAGAGGGACATGATGGCCGTTGGACCCAGGGTCACATCCTTAGATGTACCCAGGAAGGTGTAAATGAACCCCCCCATAAAGGCAGAATAGAGGCCGAACTGTGGATAAAAATATTTAAACAAAGCTGTGAAGAATTATGATTTTTCTTTTTTTTTTTTTTTATTCACTGTATAACAACTAGCTTTTATTTTTATCCACGTTGTTGTATTTTATGGAGCTAAAATCTCCTAAACTTTAGGAGAAGTTGATGTGAGTTGTTTTTTTTATTTCAGTGGGGTTTACGTTTTCAAAAACACTCGTCCAAATGTCCTAAAACTCAGATACAACTCAGATATAAACTTAATTTAAAATATTAGAAAAATTGTAAAACACAAGTGAAAACATATTTTTTAATTGCACCGACACTGTAAACTTAAACTCATGTAAAGTATAAAAAGCTTAAGGGGTTAATGATATGTTAATAAATACAAAGTAACACAATATTCTACGTAACAAATATAATAACAGATCTAACAGAAAGCATGATTATAATGTAATAAATATTTGCAATTAACAAGTTATAAAAGCTGTAAAAAAAGTTTGTGTTGGGCCTGACCTGCACAGGAAGGCCTGCTACTTCAGCATAAGCCAGCGCCTGTGGGACAGTGGTCAGCCCCACAGTGAGGCCTGCCAGGAGGTCCATCTTCAGGTACTTCAGCTTGTATTTAGGCAACCAGGAGAGGATGGGCAGCCAGGCCTGCAGGGTGCTGAAGGAGCAGCAGCCCCGCGACGACTCCATTCTGTCAAGAGGCTGATCCATCATGCAATCCTCTGGAGAGGAAGAATGGCACAAATACATTTTAGACACAATGCTGAATTCACATGGATTTTATTCTGCATGGAGGAGCAAAACTGCAAAATATAAAGACACAAACTTACACAAAGTGATGAAGCTGGCTTCTGTTCATTAAACAGCTCTGAGGACCTGCTGAGATGACCAGAAATGATGATCAGAAAAAAATGTGAGCGTGAGTGAACTCTTTTGTTTTAAGGTTTTCAGAGCATAAAAATAAAATAAACAACTTTCTGTCTGCAGCCTGCTCAGACTGTGTGCATCAGGATTGTTAGGTGTATTACAGATGATAGTCATATGATGTGACAGGTTGGTGATTTACACACCTGTACCTGAGATCTTTGTCTACAGGTAACTATAAACAAAACCGCACGTTTTATAATAATACAAATTCATTAATGTTACAGGAAACAAAAACACATCATTTAATCGTCTGTCTGCATGTCCTATGATAAACTATATCTAGTCATCTCAATGGCAAACTGGAAAAAAAAAGAATAACAACACCAAAAAGAATTAAATATGGAACAAAATAATTAGAATAGAGTTCATTCTTCGAGCCTCTTCTTGCACATTGTTTATTGTCTTACTTGTGTTTGTTCAGATCCGCTTCTTTCAATTCATTTCTGTGACAAAACACTTCCCAGAGCTTATGACATCTCTGTTTTTGGTACGAAGACTTTCTGTTTTTTGCCGTCACGTGACCAGAGTCATGTGACAACCGACAGGGAGCTTCTATATTTTCAGGAGAAAAAAAACAAACAATTCCGTCTTTGTTTTCAGGAAGCAAACAGCAATACATACATTAATGAATTAATCAATTAAGTGAACAACACCTTCATTTATGCATTCATTCTATTTTAGCTCGTTGTTATGTGAGTGGCTCCACATAATTTAAACGCCGAAAGAAAGCTGAAAAGGTGGCGCGCCGGGTAGGCGGAGTTTGCGCTTGTTGTCTTACGTCAGCCGGATGCCCCGCCCAGATATGAATAACTTTAGTCAGACTTGAACATAAACCGGTGTACATACAGTGAGCTGAACTTTACCCTGCAGGTGGCTTTGTGTTTGGTTGTTTTTCTTTGTTGCACATTAGTGACCCGTTCTGGCAAAATGAATCAGCTGCCGTGCTAAAACCGTGAAAACACTGATGTTTGCTGTAATTGCGATTTTCAAGTCATTTCAATTCAGTTTAATTCAATTCAATTCACTTAATTTATCCCAAAGGGGCATTTAAAAAAAAAAATGCAGCATTTAATTATTATTATTTTACTTTCTCATTTTGCATAATAATCTAGCAATCACTAAATGAGCATATTATTTTCCTACTTTTAATTTGAAGTTTTCTGACAGGTATGTTTTCAGAAATAATCTTTAGTCTTATAACCCTTAGTTTCTATGAAAATGACCACTTTTCTCTATCAGCTGCTGTGCCACTGGTAAATCAAATGTATATCATAACTTATTATTTTATATATCTAAACAGATTAAATATGTATTTTATGTTAATTTCTTTATGTGGTCTCTGTTGGCCTTGTGAGAATTGTTTCGAAGCAGCCAAAGAGAGAAAAAAATGGACTTCACTGTTGTCTTGAGAGCCTGAGCAACAATTAGTCTTCTAAAGAGAGAGAAGCAATCAGGGCAGATGAACTACAGCTGTGATTCTTGCAGGTTTTTAAACCTCAGATGTTGCTCCAGTCTTTAGCTGGTGACTGGAACTTGGAACAATGAAAGGTGTTTGTGTCGTGGTTGTTTGTGCGGTGGCTGTGTGGCTCAACAAAGGTGTGGATGTTACTTGACTTTTTGAGACTTTGTAAATTCTTGAGTTGATTTAGAGCTCCATTATTACAAAAAAAACGTAAAAAAAAAAAGAAACTTCTGAACAACTGAAAATGTGTTGTCTGTAGGGTCATGTTTACCTGTTGACGAGCCAAGTGACAACACTGCCTTTAATCAAGTGAAGATGCGGAGCCGTAAGTTTGTTTGCTTTATATTTTAAAGCTGATACTTGGCATTAAAATGTGGGTGTGGTTTTTATTTTATTTTTCCTTTTCAGTTTTTCCTCAAAAGGAGTTTTCTCTAAGGAACTCTGCTGCATTTATCCAGTCAATGGACTCCTTGTTGAAGGAACACAGTGAAGAAGGTGAGCACGTGCCCGAAGTCTTAACATTTATATAAGCATTTCATAATCCACTAAAGTTGCATTTTAAAAGTATCGGCATAATTTGAGTTTTTAAAACTGAGTCTCTTTTTTTTGTCTAGTTCATTTGGAATCTGAAGAGCCATTCTGGGGGCTCCAACCTGACATGAATTCAACTTTACTCCAGACTGGATGTTGGTTCTTTATCGTTTGTGCTGAGAACCTGAATGGAACCAGCAACACCAACATGACTATCACGTTTGGAATGAAACCTTGATTCTAAAATTGTTCCAAGTCGTGTGTTTTTTTTTTTTTTTTTTTTTTTTTTTCTTTCTCTCAGATGTACAACAAGACTGATTTGAAATAAACCTGTTTAAAAGTCCAGTTCTATTGACTAATCTTTAGACAAGGTAATTTAAGCATCATTGTATGTAAAACCAGAACGTTCCTGGAGAAACTTTGATGGGGACTGCCACACTAATTACCCCCCCCCCCCCCCCCCGCACAACCTGTCTTGCACAAAGGCTGCAGATGTACACACACTCGTATAAAGGTGATATGAAACAAACTGACACTGATACATTTTGACAATGTATAGCAATAATTAAACTTTTTTTTATATAAATGTGTCCCTGAATCACGAGGACTCCTTTTCAAGAGACCGGTTTTAGATGCAAAGTTCCGACGATTCACAATATTTAAAATCGGTTATAAATTTAGAAAAGGTTTATGTAGCAACTAATCTCTTACTAATAAAAGCTATGTGTGTGTGTGTGTGTGTATAAACTGGCTTATTTAAAAGTGTAAAATGACAAGTGCACTACAAAATAAAGTTTTAGCTGCAGCAATTCAAAAATACTTAATCCCAGAAGGAAATTAAATGTAACTCATCCTGGTTGCATGAATTCTAGATGCTGTGGGCAGGAAGGATCTCTTGTAGCTGTCTCTTACAGTGGATATGAAGAAGCCTCTGAAGATGCTGAGGGTTGTCTAATAATTTTATGAAGAATCCTTCATAGCTCTTTTTTAAGCTACTTTTCAGCTGTTTTCTTGAAATTCTTAAGCAAGAAGCATTCACACTGCATTTTTGCAGAAAATGCAAATTCTCTGTTTAACACCTTCGATTTCTCTTGGTGCAGTAGTATCAAACTTTTAATTTTGTTGATCGGAGCATGTAAGCGCCGCCGTCCAGCAGAGGCCTAGAGCATTTAGTCCCGAGGAGTCGTCGTGGTGTCCAGTTCCAATGCTCAACATTTGTTGAAGTGGTGGACTGTTTTTGCCCTCTCCCCTGAACATTTGTTTAAAAGAAATATTTAAAAATATACTGCATCAAATTAGTGTGATCTTTTATAATTTGATCACAGCATCCCTCAATATCAATTGAAATTATTGCATTATGTTCAGCTTGTGGGCAGACCCCTTCAGACATTTCAGCAAAAATGTGAGGCAGGCAGATGTTGACACCCTGTTTTGATCTTAGTTCTTTTGATTCTGCTGTGATTTATTTTAGAAAAGAGCCCCATAAGTATTGAAAAGGTCACCTTAGCTGAACTGAGTGGAAAGTGTAAGTGGTGGAAGGCACATCGCTTGAAATAACCATAACTTTCAAAACGCATTGTCCACAACCTTCTCAATGGACCAAATTTCAAAATTAGTGCTGGATGGTGCTGCAAGATGTTTTGAGATAAAACATCCTAATTAATCTAAAAAACGAACCCCAAAAACCTTAAAGCCTCGAACAAAAGAAGCACTTCCCAAGTTTCACATTGTAACTTCTGTTCTCCAGTCACAGTCATGTGACAACTCGAAGGCGGGGCTTAAATATGTTTCCGGAAGTTTCGACCTCTGATTTCCCACAATGCTGCTGAGTATTTTATAAAGTTTTCCTGGTTTCTTTTAACTTCTGAAGCAACATAGGAGCAATATTAAGATTCATAATGCTTGCTCAGCTGATTCTTCTTTCAGTTTGTTTCATCGGCGAGTCAAAGAGAAATGTTCTTCTGATAATTGGTGAGTAAGAGGAAAATTAATACACTCGGCTGTTATTTAAATGTACATTAACGCCTCTGTATTCAATAGTCTTCAAATCCCACTTTTAAAAATACATGTATAAATGTATTTCATTTATGCCACTTGTGTTTCTAACAATCCATAACTATCGGTGAGTTTTTACTAACAGGTTTCTGAAAAGCTCCCACTCTTCAGTTATGTTGCTTCCAAGGAGCAAAGACTTGCAATGATTTCAGTGGTCTTTCTTGATAATCATCCATTCAAACATCTTGATAATAATATCATAAATAATAGTTTCTAGGGTTTGAAAGATATTTTCATATTTTTTATGTTGGTTTGTTTTTAACTAATTTTCAGTCCAGTTTTTGTCCCTGATCATGGCATTGTATTGTAAAACGTTTACTTTAAACGGGAGCTGGAAAGTTGGGTAGAAATAAAATATCAGGTCTTAAACTTGTAGCTGAAAAATATTTGATAATTCTGAAACAGGAAAATACCATCAGAAGCCTGAACCAGGACATGATGCATAATTCTTCAGCTGATTTTACACTACATGCCAACTTTTCAGCTAGTTCTTTAAAATAATTTTATTTAGTACTAAAATACTATTTATGGTCTGTTAAAATGTGTGTGTGTCATAGATTCAGCTATAAAAATAGAATGAATGGATTGTGTTTGTAACAGATTGCTTGTTACAAAGAGTCTAAAAATGAACAGTAAAGTTGTTTTTTGTAGAGTTTTGTGTCGACACAACTTGTTCTGTTTAGGAGCATTTTTATGCCTGATTGGATCTTAAGTCAAAATTAAGTGATTCAATCAACAAAAAACATTACTCTGAAAAATGGCCAGGGACTGAATTGCAAATGTGAGAAAAAAGGAGCAACAACAAACAAACATAAAACTCAGAAAACCTGTAGAACTATTAATCAAGACCACTTTAAAATAAATCACAATAAATTCTGGCTCTTTGTAAACAAAATATAAAATAAAAAAGAGGAATGACTGCAGTTCTGTATATCATAAATGCGTACTTACACGTTGTATTTCACAATTCGGAGACAAACGCTCCAACAGTGTGAACTAACCGGTCTGTGAGGAGCGAGTTACATTTCTGTTGTGATGAACGTCGTCTCAGGGCCGAGCTTTAAGCTTTTCTTTGTTGTGTTTGTTTGCAAAAGTAGAACCGAGTTTTTGTCATTTTAATTTTCCAGCTGATGACGCAGGTTTTGAAACCGAAGTTTATAACAACTCAGTGGTCCGCACCCCCCACCTGCGCTCTCTGGCTCAGCGCAGCGTTGTGTTCAGCAATGCCTTCACATCTGTCAGCAGCTGCTCCCCGAGTCGCTCCGCCGTCCTCACCGGCCTGCCGCAGGTAAGACTCTCACTAACAATAACTTTTGTTTAGATGGAAAGGAGTTCAGGTGTGTTTGTTCCACGTTTCCAGCATCAAAACGGCATGTATGGACTTCATCAGGGGGTTCACAACTTTAACTCGTTTGATGGAGTTCAAAGTTTACCGCTGCTTCTCAGCCAGGCTAATGTACACACAGGTAACAAAGGGCATTTTTATCTCGAGCTTTGTGTTGTGTTCTCTTTATTTACGTTTTTCTGTCTGAATTTTACAGGTATAATCGGGAAGAAGCACGTCGGTCCAGGATCTGTTTACCCTTTTGACTTTGCCTACACAGAGGAAAATAACTCTGTCCTCCAAGTGGGGAGGAATATCACTCGGATCAAACTCCTGGTTCGTAAGTTTTTCCAGACTCATAAGGAGGAAGTTGGTAAACAGAGGCAACATGAAGAGAAAAAAGGCAACAATGAAGAAGCTGAAGAGGATGAAAGGCCATTTTTTCTTTATGTGGCCTTCCACGACACGCATCGATGTGGACATTCGCAGCCCCAGTATGGAGCTTTCTGTGAGAAGTTTGGGAACGGAGAAACTGGAATGGGTAGGATTCCTGACTGGACACCAGTATATTACACACCAGATCAAGTAAAGGTGGGTGATGAAGGATTCTGAAGATTGTAATGTAAAATCCAGTCTCTGACACGCGTTCCTCTTCAGGTTCCTCCTTTTGTTCCTGACACTCCTGTATCACGAGCTGACCTGGCCGCACAGTACACCACAGTGAGCAGGCTGGATCAGGGTGTGTAAAAGATCCTGCACATAAACAAACAAACAAGAAACAGACGAATAAAGAAGATAAACTATAATGGTGCAATCTTCTCCGCAGGTATCGGACTAGTCCTTCAGGAGCTCAGAGACGCCGGTTATGAGAATGATACTTTGATCATCTACAGCTCAGATAACGGCATCCCCTTCCCGAATGGCAGAACCAACTTGTACGACTCTGGAACAGCCGAGCCCATGTTGGTTTCATCTCCAGAACACAGGGAGAGGTGGGGAGACACCAGCCGGGCCTACGTCAGCCTGCTGGGTAAGAAAAACACGATGGAGACATACTGAATAGGACGCAGTTGTTAAAATGTTAATAAAAACATAAAGCATCATTCCAAAACAGTATTTTATTTAATTATAAGCAAAACAAACAGACAGTACATCAGTCTATATTCTCTCCTTTCTGTTATTCAAGTGAGATGAATGGAAGAAAAAACTATGTACTCTATTTCTCTATTTTTTTTAATTATGCCAGCAACATATGAGGACCTGAGTTTGGCATCACAGAGCTCAAGTCATTTTATTTATCTGATGCTCTTAAACTGCCACAAGGGGGAGACTGAACAACAATTTAACATCAGCATGGTTAAATAACAAATTCCTACATAAAATATAGGAATCTCAAACACTCCTAATACATTTTGACTTAAGGTATTTACACCATGATAAATAATCCCATTTCGGGATTAGGGGATTAAATTATATGTGATGTAAAAAAAACCAACCTTTCATTAGTGACCAAAACTGCTGTGATTACACTTTGCCTTCATTTTTTTTAATATGCAGTGTTCTTGATGTATTTAAATGTAAAGTTTTACCTCTTAATTCAAAAACACTTCATTCTTCGGTGGCGGCTGTGGCTCAGTGCTTAGAGCAGTCGTCTTCCTACAAGACAGTCGGAGGTTTGATTCCACCAGTATGCAGCCACATGTACCCCTGTGTAAGACACTGAACCCCTCATTACATCCGCTGTGTGTCCCCCTGAATGTGATCTACAGCTCGATTAGTCTCTACAGAATCAGATTGGTTTTGTAGAGATGTAGTAGAGTGCTGTATGAATGTGTGTGTGGAGGGATGAATGAACGAGGGCACAGATTGTGTTGAAAAGCGTTTTAGGTCTGGTCCTATATCAGTACAGTCCATTTGCCATTTTTACCATCTTCTGAAATATCAAAAGTAAAAACAAGTACGTCAAGATAAAGCATTATAGAGTGTGACCAAAAGATGTCCCTCGGTTTAAAATAACAGAAACATCAGTCAAAGTGTGTGTACAGTGATCAAGTTAATATTGCCATAAATTAAATTACTTAAAATTTGATTTAAAGTCTCTGCCTTTCTTTCTGTGAATTCACTTTTTTCCTTGTTTCTGTTCCTGCAGACATCACTCCTACCATCCTGGACTGGTTTTCTATTCCCTATCCATCTTACAGCCTCCCCGGCAGTCCCACCATGCAGGTCCACCTTACAGGTCGCTCCCTACTCCCAGCTCTGATCACTGAGCCCAGCAGCTGGCACACGGTCTTCTCCAGCCAGTCGCTGCACGAGGTCAGGTCACCACCACCGCTCACAGATGAAGACAAACCTCTGGGCTCTGACGGCTGCGCTCTGTTCCTTTCAGGTAACCATGTACTACCCAACTCGCTCCGTCCACCGGGGGGCGTATCACCTTCTCCAAAACCTGCACTACAGGATGCCGTTCCCCATCGACCAGGATCTGTACGTGTCGCCCACCTTTCAGGATCTGCTGAACCGCACGAGGCTGCAGCAGCCGACACACTGGTTCAAAACCCTGGATCAGTATTATTACAGAGAGCGCTGGGAGCTGTTTGACACCAGGTCTGTGAGAGCTGCACACGCTGAGCACAAACTCACATCGAAATGCAAGCTGAAACAACTTTTGGTAATAAAATGAACAAAACTATTCCCCCACTAAAAAAAAAACCCTTAAACAGACATGTTTTTTAAGAAAAGGTAATCTGAACTTTAAAAGACATGACTTTTATTTTGAGTTTTGCAAGACTTCTCTACAAGTCATAAATATCAGTTTTGTCAGGTGAATTTTATAAACCAGTAAACTAACAGGTTTAATAGATTTGCACATTTTGTTACTTTTATTTAAGAAGACAGTGACTCGTCTTAAGTTAAATAAGGTAGGAGTTCTGGAGGTTAGGACAGTGGTTCTCAAACTAGTACAAGTACCACTGGTGGTACTCAGAAACCTTCTAGTGGTATAACCCTTAGAAGACGTGCCTCTCTTGTATGAACTGAACTGGATTTACGATTGAATTATTAAATGTGCTTGTGGCTTCATACAGGCAGCGCCAGTGATATCTGCTAGACACTAAAGATGGAAATCTGATTCAAGTTATGTCAAATTAATATTTACCTGTTATGGAGGGGGGAAGAGCCTTTACTGCAGTGCATGCAGGTGGCTGTTCTCAGCCGCCAAGGCATGGAATGTCACGTTAAACCACACTGTCTGACCAGCGTTGGCCTGTTTACAGAGCCTGGTGTTTTCTCAGTTGGTATTTGTTACATGAAGCTGGAGAATCACTGATCTCGTCCCTCATCTGTAGACTCATGGTTCATGGTCAGGTCCGGCTGAATTTCCCATCCCATATCTCCCCACTGAATGTCTCCACAATCTCCTCAACCAAACAATAACTGAGTTCAGATAAGAGGATTCTGTGTTTTCTCTTGGATTTTGTCTTTTTTAATTTTTATTTATTTTTTGTTGGTCATCTCAGGTGAGTGAGAGAATCATTTTTCATCATTTAGATGATTAACTTGTGCTTCAAAATATTATGACAGATAAATTAATATTGTAAATGATGGCTAATTGTAGCTTTATTTGCTTGACAGTGACTGAACATATACCTAATGAGATTTGTCTTTCCTCTATTTTAAACTATAACAATTATAATTATTATTCCAAAGGGTTAAAACTGATGGCAAATGTTCTTTTCAAACTATCAGTAAACCGAGAAGTTTATCTGTATTGAAATAAATACATTTATCCTATAATTTTGTGTTATGTGAAGAACATTTTAGGAGCACCAACAGTGCTCCAACAGACACTGTAACAGTGTAAGAGTTTAATTCTGTGCTTTATTTGGTGGAAAAAATACAAACAAGACATTTTTGCGAAAAGATAAAATGAGAAAATATGTAATAAAAATTTGCAAAACGGTATTTACAAGCAAAAATGTTATAAATGATAACTAAAATTTCAAATAAGCAAAACAGTAGTTAAAAGCTGAAATTATTAAATTCATAGCTTTCATCCATCAATCCGTCAGTCAGTATATCAATCAATCAACCCGTCAATCAATCGATCAGTCAATCAGTCAGTTAATCTATCAATCAATCATTTTCTGCTTGTTCTGAAGTCGGGTCGTGGGGGCAGCAGCTTGAGCAGGGACATCTCTTTCCACAGCCACCTCTTCCAGCTCTTCTGGGAGGACTCCAAGGTGTTCCCAGGCCAAATGAGAGATATAGTCCCGCCAGCGTGTCCTGGGTCTTCCCCGGGGTCTCCTCCCAGTTGGACATGCCCAAAGTACCTCCCTAGGGAGGCGCCCAGGGAACATCCTTACCAGATGCCTGACCCACCTCAACTGGCTCCTCTCAATGTAGAGGAGCAGCGGTTCTACTCCGAGTCTCTCCCAGAAAACTGAACTTCTCACCCTATCTCTAAGGGAGATTCCAGCTACCCTGCAGAGGAAACTCATTTTGACCGCCTGGATCCACGATCTCATTCTTTCGGTCACTATTCAGCGTTTGTGACCATAGGTGAGGGTAGGAAAGTCAACTGACCCGTAAACAGAGCTTTGCCTTACAGCTTGGCTCTCTCTTCACCACAACGGACCAGCACAGAGACCACAATGCTACACCAATTTGTCTTGTCAATCTCACGCTCCATTCTTCCCTCACTTGTGAACAAAACTACGAGGTACTTGAACTCCTCCACTTGAGGCAGAACCTCACTCTCGACCTAAAGAGAGCAATCCACACTTTTCTGGTTGAGGACCTTGGCCTCAGATTTGGAGGTGCTGATTCTCATGCCAACCGCTTCACACTCGGCTGCGAACCTCTCCAGTGAGAGGTGGAGATCACGGCGTGATGACGCCAACAGGATCACATCATCTGCAAACAGCAGTTACGGAATCCTGAGGCCACCGAACTATAATCCCTCCACCCCCTGGCTGCACTGAGAAGTTCTGTCCATAAAAGTTATGAACAGAATCTGTGACAATGGGCAGCCCTAACTCCCACCCCACAGGGGTCCGACTTAATGCCAGCAACGCAAACCAAACTCTCGCACCTAACAGCCCATAGCAATTGGCCTCCAATCCCCTACTTGTAGAGCACCTCCCACAGTGTACCCCGAGGAACACGGTCCACCGCCTTCTCCAAGTCCACAAAGCACATGTAGACTGGATGGGCAAACTCCCATGACCCCTGAAGGACTCTAGTCAGGATAAAGAGGCAGTGTTCCATGGCCAGGATGGAACCCGCATTGTTCCTCCTGGATCTGAGGTTTGACCAGTGATTGGACTCGCTTCTCCAGTACCCCTGAATAGACTTAACCAGGGAGGATAAGGAGGGTGATGCCCCTATAATTGGAACACAACCCTACTGTCCCTCTTTTTGAAGACGGGAACCACCACCCCCAGTTTGCTAATCCAGTGGCACTGCCCCCGATGTCTATGTGATGTTGCAAAGACGTGTCAACCAAGACAGCCCCACAACATCCAGAGCCTTGAGGAACTCAGGACTGATCTCATCCATCCCCTGAGCCCGGTCGTCGTGGAGTTTTTTAACTACCTCAGCGACCTCGGCTCCGGTTATGGACAGACCAACCCCAACCCCTCCATGAATCACCGCCTTATTGCGTTGGAGGAGTTTAAGCTCCTGAATGATCCATTTGAGCTATGCTGTTGGAGGCAGCATATCTGCCTGGGAGACCTGGTAGGGTCTCCCAAGGCAGATTGGTCCTTGGTGACAGGCCAGACAAAAAACAACTCCAAAGATTCATACAGACAACATCAAGGAGCTCAGTGTCCCTTGCCCATACATGGGTTACTGGGGCCTCACCCTGGAGCCAGGCCTGGGGGTGGGGCTTGTCAGTGAGTGCCTGATGACAAAGTCTCTACCTATGGGGCCCAGTCGATCTCAACCCGAATGAGCAACATAGAGGGGGAGCAACACAGGAGGGGGCATACGTTTTGAGTACGAAGTATCATGGGTTGTAGCCGAAGGCGGGGGGCTTCCAAAGCTGTCTCTAAAATCATAGCAGATAAAATTAGAAAAGAGAAAAAAAACAGTAGCTATAAGCTAAACATAGCAAAACACTAGCTAAAAGTTGCAAAACTGTCACTAACATCAAGAATGATTAAATTAGTAAGCCTAAGCTAAAATGAGAAACTGTAGTTAAAAGCAAAATTTGCAATACTGTAGCTAAACATTAAAGTTACCAAAACTGTAGCAACAAGGTAACATTAAGAAATATGTAGGAAAACCATCCATCCGTTATCTTTTAACCGCTTCTTCCATTTTGGGTCACGGGGGTTGCCGGTGCCCATGTCCAGCAATCACTGTGCGAGGGGCGGGGGACACCCTGGACGGGTCTCAAGTCCATCACAGGGACACATAGAGACAAACAACCATTCACTCTCTCACTCACACCTAGAGACAATTTAGAGTTACCAATCAGCCTAACATGCATGTTTTTGGTTTGTGGGAGGAAACTGGAGTACCTGGAGAAAACCCACGCGTGCACGGAGAGAACATGCAAACTCCACCCAGAAAGGCCCCCAGACCGGGATTTGAGCCAGGGACCTGCTCGCTGAGAGGCAGCAGCTCTATCAGTTGCACCACCGTGCTGCCCGTAGGAAAACCAATAAAAACTAAATGTAGCTAAAAAAGTAGAGCAAGTATGCTGAGGTGGATTTCAAAGAATGGTTTTAAAGGACTCAGATGTCGTATTTTTATGTGGAATTTTTTTGTAAATATTGTAAATTAAATATAAAAAAAAACAAGAGTTACAAATATGAAAAGTCATATTCTCTATTGAGCTGACAGTTTGAAATATAAATATATAAAAAAGCACAAAGTATGTACACTACAAAAATGAACTGAAGAAACTAAACCAGGAAAAAGTAAATGCTGACTCAGCAAAATGAAATTGTATGGAACGATCATTTCCTTTAACTGTAAAGTCTATAAATGTCAAGTGCTGGTGAATAAAATTATATTATTTATTTGTGCATTTTTAAAGTTTGTATTTTTGAAGTTGTCTGACAAAATTAACTTTACTGAGACCTCGTGGAGAAAGTAAAAATATTTTACTCTTTGTGAGCAAATTTAGGACTTTGCTTTCTGTTAAAAATATCTAATGATGCTTTAATTTGAACAAACGCAGAGCTGACCCACTGGAAACCAGGAACCTGGTCTCAGATCCGGTCTACAGCTCCATCCTGGAGAACCTGAAGCAGCTTTTGCAGAAGTGGCAGTGGGACACTGGAGATCCCTGGGTCTGTGGACCAGACTATGTCTTGGAGGACAAACTGGAGCCACGCTGCAGACCTCTCTTCAACGGACTCTGATGGTACTTTCACTCATCTTGGAAGTACAGGAAATGAAATTTTATATGTATTTTTGTAAATATGTGTTGCTTTTAATGATGTGAAATAAACTATTTGAGTTTCCTTGTTTCAGTGCATCCTTTGTTACTGTAGACCCATCATTCAAGTCAGTTATTTCTGAATCCGTTTTACACTTTTAAGGACGACTTTCCATCATCATGACCCCCTCATGAAGCTGCATCATGGAAAGCCAACATGATGACACACCACTGAACAGTTTTTATTGTTCAGCTGAACAGATGAAGACTGATCAGCTAATTACACACAGGCAGAGGAGTTCATGATGCTTAGCCTCTGCGGACCAATAATCAATCTTCAAAAGGGTTTTCTTTGGTTTGTTTTAACTCAACACAGAAAGAAAACCCTTTTAAAACATTTTCTGCCTAAAGTGAACAATTTGAATCCACTGTAACGTTTTGTGAGGATCATTTCATTGTTCATTAGATGAGAACTTGTAATGTGTATACTTTGATTCACACTTTTTAAATGTGCTTATTTGACTGCTCTCCAAGAGTCACAGAAGATCTGACCTTCTTATAGCTCCCCCCCCCCCCCCCCCCACACACACACACACTTCCATCACACACACACACCTTCTCACTGGCTCCAGACTATCCATAACAAATCAATCAGGACTTTCACCTCCACCCCACATATTCTATAGACAGATCATCATCCGCCTACCTCAGCTCTGATTTGATGAAAGTCTTGTGTCACGATATCTCTCACCAGCCAGCCTTTATAAGAGCAAGAAAGTTTTCCAAGTCAAACGAAACCAAAAGACTCAGACCTGAGGAGCTGCGTTTCCTTCCCGTGCGTAAAAAAAAAGAAGTGCCAAGCCGATCCCAAACATGGAGAGGTCTGTGAGGTTCGCCGTGGTGTGTGTCGGAGTGTCTCTACTCATGTCCTGTCAGTCAGTCGAAGCCTGGTACAAGCAGTCCACCGGGCCCAGTTACTACTCGGTGGGTCGCGCCTCCGGTCTGCTGTCCGGGATCAGGAGGTCTCCGTACGTCCGGAGCGCAGAGACGGTGACCGACAGCGGGGAGGTGGCAGGTAACACCGTGATCCCAGAGACTAACAGACAAATCTCCATCCTTAAAAACATGGTAAGTACAGATCAGGTACGAACCGTTTTTATTCAAAGGAATTTATTTATTTATAGTAGCTAATGATAAGCGCGAAAAAAAAATGCGTAAAATCATGTTCCACTCCGCACCAGACTGTTCTGTCCACACTAATATACGAATATATGTAGACTTCTATGTTTGACAGACTTTATTCAAGAAAATACACAGTTCTTGTTTGATTTTGTGCTTTGCATGCAAAAATAAAACTGAAAAGACTCGTGCGTAAAAGCGCAAAACTTATTTTAGATAACGGCCAAAGCGCAAAGAAAAAAACTATTTCCAAAGGTAAAAATAAAGATTTGAATTATTGATCCATCACTACTGGGAGAAATCTTTTTTTCCCCACACATAATTTGTTTCAAAAATTTCCAGTAGCAGAAACTAATATTTGATCCCGGTCTCCTGCAGGCCATCTGCCTGAAGGACATCTCTCCGAACCTGAAGAGCTGCGAGCTGCTGCAGGACGGATCCGGAACCTTCCAGTGTCAGGCTGACGTCTTCCTCACCCTGGACTCCCTGGACTGCCTGTCCGCGTGAAGACCATCCTCCAAAACCGCAGAGAGCTTTTCTGAAACGACGAGAAATGAAACCAAACAAAAGAAGTCATGGAAGAGGAGGTTGGGAGGAAAACCTGCTGCAGATCCTGAATGTTTTCTCTTTATTAAAACAAATAAATGTTCCCTTTTGTTTTGGTTGAGTGGAGTTACAAAAGAAAAGTAGATTAAAAAATGTTAGTTGATTCTGTCTCCAGGAGCTGTGTCATCCTTTCTGTTCATTTATCTGTCACCAACATTGTATTTAATGTCCAGAAGGCTCTCTGTTGTCCAGATTTTCTGAAAATTATTTAATTTATTAAACTGAACAAACAACGTGTAAGGTGGGTGGTCTTGTGAATTTTCTACCTTCAGTCGTTTAAAACATACATAAATCAGTGGACACAACATGTTAAAAGCTGTTTTCACATTTATTATACTGCAGGTTCAGTGCACTTATACAACTTCGAACAGTGTGATAATTTACAAATAGAGGAACAGTCTGAAAGCAGGTGAAATTTTCACAAATTAAGTATTTAAATCACAACGCTTCATTCTAAGGCACTTGGGGGCATCTTTCCCTCGTTTACCAGCATCTCACTTCAAACTGCATCAGTCATTTCCATAACATAATTATTATGACCCTTCAAAACAAAGATAATGCTACAAATCAGACAGGAGGCAGCAGTCTGACATTCATGTGGAACAATGACCCTCGCAGGTAAAAGGAGGGAAATGAAAGCTGAGTCAAGGCTCCTCAGGGAAGTTTCTAGTGTAAGCGTCTGTAAATGAGTTTCTCAGCATCACTGCAGACAGATTAAAACTCCTGCTGTGAGAGGGATGTGAAGCAGAACAAATAGGTGTTTCACCAGCGATAACCGCCTCATTAGACGGATGTGATGCTCAGCAGAGACACAGGGGTGGAAAACAACGGTACACATGAGTGACTTCTGCTGGGAGGCTTTTAAACAGTAAACCTCCTCCTCTCTGCACACACAGATAAAATCCTGTTGAGTTTGGTTGTACAGAGAATAAAATATTTTAACACATTCTTGGCAAAGATTCAAAGGCTCAAGATCAAGAGAAACATCTTCCAAGAGTTTTTGTCTTCATTTTTTTCAAATATGAACACAGATCAGGGACAAATAGAGTTTTATGTTCCGTTTATCAAAATGTTTTAAGTTTCAGTCATAAGATAAAAACATGATTTAACATCCAAAGAGGTCCTGGCTGGCGGCTACAGGAGCGACACGGCTTCCAGGTTTTCTTTAATTATTGTGTCCATAACCACCTGGAAGACGACCTGGATGTTGGACGTGTCCGTTGCCGTGGTGAAGTGGTGATAGATGAGCTTGCTGGGCGTTTTGTTGAACGAGACGAAGGTGGCGGCGATGAAGCGGGCGGCAGAATCCACATCGCAGTCCGCTCCTGAAGAAACAGAGACGCAGGGCTGACGAGAGCTTGGCCAATCGCATGCTTCATGAGCTCCAAGTTGATGTTATGATTTGCATTTTTTGTGTTTATAATAAAATTAAAACACACAGAAATATAAAATAAAATGGGGCCAATCAACTGCAGCAACCAGAAAAGCAACACCTCGTTTTAAAATGAGGTCAATGTAAGTCAAATGATTCAAATTCAAATAAAGGATTTTCAGTAAATTACAAGAATCAACACTAAATTATTTAATCTTATTAGTAATTTAAACGTATTAGTAATGTAACAGAGAAAATACAGGCCTGGCATCCTTTAAATGCATATCGCCCGCTGCACTTCATGTCAGATTACACCAAGATCATTCTGGTGAGAAATGACAGAGTTATCCTTATTTTCCTCTAAATTTGAAAATAATGACGTGTAATCTCATACATCAGCAGAAGTGATGATCAGAGTCCATGTTGAGGATGACTCTCAGCTACTACACCAAGCTGTAGCTGATATTTGTAAAACAGACTGAATTATAGACATTTTTGTCTTAATTTTATTATTTATTAACATTTATTTAACCAGGCAAATCCCACTGAGATCATAGATCTCTTTTGCAAGAGAGGACTGGGCCTGAAGCCTAACATGCATGTTTTTGGTCTGTGGGTGGAAAGTGGAGTACCTGGAGAAAACCCACGCATGCACAGAGAGAACATGCAAACTCCACACAAAGACCCCAGGTCCAATCGGGGATTGAAACCAGGACCTTCTTACAGTGAGGCAACAATGCTAACCACTGATCCATCATGCTGCCAACATCTTTGCTAACAACAGCGGGCTGTGGCGGCCATCTTAAATTGGGTTGATAATCAGTTGTAGATCCAGATAACTGAGATAGTTTTATCCATCTGTTCACTGGTTCATGAGACGTTTTGCTCGCCATTAAAAATGTGGCACGGTCAAAACATATTTAAATAAAATAATAATGATCAAAAGTAAAATTCTTCTCCAAGATGGAGTGGTGTAAGGGTAAGAACCTGTCAGCATCAATGCCTCTGGGCGACAACAAGCCCAGAAGAAATGGACCAGCCACGTTTTTCCTACAACAGAGTCTTAAACAGAACGTCTCAACGGGCTCAGCTGCAAATATGAACAACACAAAGCTCTACTGAACTCATCACCATAGCTGCTGTCCGGGTTAAACGGACACTGACCCCAATCCCACGTCTGTTAGCATTTTATTGACATTTGCATGAGAGCAGAGGTGACGGCCCCCGTTGAGCCCACAAAGAGGTGAAATCCAGAGCAGCTGGAGTAATAAAGCTCAGAACCAGCAGCACATGGAGAGCTTCTGATCAGCCCGAGATGTACGCTTCCAACCTGCAGTCAGGTTTGTGTCTTTAAAGAAGATTTCAAAGGTTCGTTTCATTTTTTTTAGCTTTTACGGACGTTTAAAATGCCGTCGCGTTTTTAAGCAACGTTTCATGTTTTTGGTTCCACGATCGACGCTCACCGAGTCGTACCTTTGAACTGTGGCAGAAACAAGCGCAGGTGCCGGCCCGTGTGTAAAATCTTGTCTTGAAAAAGATCTATCTTGTTCATGAATAAAATCTGAAACGACAGGAAAACAAAACACAAAATTAAAACCATCTGATCAGAAAAGTAGGGAAATAATGACTTAGTTTATGACATCTGTAGCTTTGAAATAACTCATAAATTTAATGTTACTTGAAGGGAAAAAAAAATCAATAGTTGTATTGATGAATACATCAGGGGACGATTTACACACATCAGCTTCACATGTAGTTCAGAGCTCCACGAGCTCAGACACCTGTCACAAATCTGTCTTTCTGTGGTGCCTTTTTTTTAACTCATCTTCTGTTCAGCTTCCACCTCAGTCTCAGGTAATACAGCCTTACTGAGAAATTAAAACTACGACTACGAGAACAAAAACGGACCCGGATAGTAACGAGGGAGGGACAGAGCGGATCCAGAGCAACACCTTGGTGTGTAATTACCACTGCCCAGCCACAGAGCAGAGCTAATTGAGGTGGAGGTTACACATTTTCCTCCCACATGAAAAAAAGAAAGGTATCATTAAACACTTTTGTTTAACGAGCCTGTTAGACGTGTTAATGTGCAGGCCCACACACAACCCTGCACATAAAGACGTCACACGCAGGCTTTTTAATTATCTTTTGTGGTTTTATGCTTTAAGTTTTTATGGTTATAAAAACCAAAACGCTTCAACAAAATAAACCGAATCTGTGAAACTGTAACAGTGACTAAACACCGTTAAAGTTTAATTCATAAACTCTACATTTGTTTTAATTTGGAAGAAGTCGTGTTCTCCTTTTCTCCGCAGGTTAAATCGCATTTATCCTGAACGGCGTTCGCTGTCGAAGGTTACAGGAAAACACAGACGAGTTCACAGCAGCCGACACGACAACCTGCAGAGACGAGTGTCTTAAGCTTCAGTTAGAAGCAAATCAAACAAACTCATTACACGGTAATTTTAATGTGATCGTTTAGCAGAAACAGGATTGGAAAATAAAGAGAGCGGAAAACGTCACCACGCTGAAGGTTAACGTCTTCACAACCTGCTGTTTCACTGAAAGTGACAGGTGAGGATGTGATTTGTGTGGAAACAGAATTTATCAAATACATCACAGGCTTCATTTCTCCCATTTGTGCCTCAGAGAGCAAATTTCTAACTTCTTTTCAACTAATCCTGGTTTACTGCCCATCTGAACTTCAGAAAAGTGTTTTGATCTCATTGTTTTATAAAAATTATAGCTTTAATCTGAACAAATGCATTAAATGCCCCAATAACACAAAAAAATGGTTAAAGTAGTGTTAAACCTGAGCCCTTTGTATTTTCACAGTGAGTGGACTGTGGTCAAAAATCAGCTTTTTATTTTTCCATTTAATTTCTAGAAATGTTTTTCCATTTTAACACAATCCCACAGTGGCTGTAGTAACTATGCCAGGCCTGTAGGGGGAACAGTGACACAAAAACAATTAAAACAGGAAACATACATATAAAGCTCAAACACCGGGTGCAAAATGTAAATAACTACAAAAAACAAACAAACAAAACAAAAAAAAGAGGGCATCCCTGAGTCAATGGAGATAAGAGAAGTTAAACACTATTTTCTAAAAATTGCATTTTGGCTGTCCACATAAAAATGCTACAGTGGCAAATACTGTAGTTTGTTCAGGAACCCGTTTTCAAACATTACAATTTTTGAGCTTTCAAAATGTCATTTTCATGTAGGTGCAGGCCTGAAACAATGAAATCTGTTGCACATTCACAAAAGACATATCCACAAGTCCCTAAAAAATAAAATCAATGTCAGTTTATTTATCAAACACATTTAAAATCCACCAAAGTTGGACCAAAGGGCTGAACAATAACTCCAACAAAACAAAATAATAAAAACACTGAATTTCAGAGAAAGATAATGTTAACAATAATTCTATTAAAAAAATTCAAAAGGCAAAGAGATAAAATGCTACACTAACAAGGTTACATTTAAGAAATAATCTCTTGCTTTACGAGGTTTTGAAAACTGGGCTGTTGATTTGTTTCTTCAAATTTGTACCAAAACCCAATTTTGGAGACTAACAGGGTAAAAAAAGGTGAAAGTTTTGAACATCGAGCCTTCTTCACACACCACAGGCTCAAACACAGCAGCCCGAAAGAATCAGGGAGTGGAGAAGATGATGATAAAAACCTCCACATTTAATTTTTCCATTTCTAACTCATCAAAACTGATTTACATTCTGCCTAACAGATGTCCCACTGCCTGCCAAGTGTTGATGTAATCAGTTGAATTAAATTCATTGATTTATTAGTTTCAATGCATCTGTGTCCTGCACCAAGTGAATGGGCTGCTGAAGAGCCTCTGCCACTCACATGAAACTTTTAGTTTGCAACAATGCTAAGCTTTATTTGAAAAGGTAACAGCACGAATGAGTCTTATAAGATCCAGGTAGAGATTTGCACTTTGTAGGCAAACATAAACACAATTTAGCAGTTAACAGGTATCTCCTTTTAAAAAAGCATGACAAAAACATTAGAACATCTCTTTCAGGATGACGCCCTTGTGACTTTGAAGACTTTTTTCCTGAGAGATGACATCTTAAATCTACAAGACCCGTTCAATTCTTAGTTTTACTTTGTGTGTATGTCCTCCAGAGGTTGAGTGATGAATTTCTCACCATGGACGTGCTGCGGAAGAAGACGTTATTGCAGATGGAGGAGAAAAGTCTCATGCTCTCCTGGAGACGATTCTGCAGGGACAAATGAAAAAGCCACTGAAGACAGAGAACAGAAACTTTTTCACTTTACACCTCTGCTGTTGACACCTGAAAACATTTAGGCTCCAACACTGTTGTATTGAGTGCAAACCGTTAAAAAATGGTTTTACTATAAAAAAATGGTTTTACTATAAAAAAATCTAAATCCCCTTGGTGTAACATTTGTAAAGAGGTGATTCAGTGCGACTCGTACCACGGAGGGGTCTTCCACCAGCGTCATGTCGTACCCGCTCAGCGACACCACAAACAGAACCGCTCGGACGTCTTCGAAACAACTGATCCACTTCCTCCGCTCGGTCCTCTGACCTCCAACGTCGTACATCCTAAAACAAGAGGACCGCGCACGGCACATTATTCACCCGGCGACAAACTATCATACAGCTATTTGTAGCAAAAGCTCGGACAAGCAGAAGCCTTGTACAGTAGTCCCTCGCTACTTCACGGTTTGTTTTTCGCGTACTCGCTCTCACGGTTTTTCAAAGTAAGATTGGACATGACACATAATTCGCTGATTGATGGATGAGCCGCACGATCGGCATGAAATTTTTATTTAAAATGAATTATTTAAAATTATTTAGCACCTGCTGCACCTGTGTGCAGCCCAGAGTTGCAGGAGAAGCTTCCTCCTGCAGCGTGTCATATCTAGGCTCTGCAGTGGAGAAGTGGGCGTGGCCTAGAGCAGTGGAGGCAGAGAGCAGTGGAGGCAGAGAGCAGAGGAGGCAGAGAGCAGAGGAGGCAGAGAGCTGAGATCTGAGATCATGACATTCTGTGCACTTTTGGTGTTTAGAGTTTAGAAGAATTGTTTAGAATATTGTACGAGTATATATATATATATATATATATATATATATATATATATATATATATATATATATACAGTACATATACATGTACACACAGGTTTGTTTTGCTATCTTTATGGGGCCTTTGCATTGACTTCCATTCATTTTTCATTCATTTCTATAGCCTAACCATGACCTTTATCCATAACCTAACCATTACCAGTACGTACCTAACCCTAAACCTAACACATCCTCAATTCACACCTTAGTCCTAAACCTAGCCCCTATCCCACCAACGGGACTTCTTCTTATGGGGCCCGGGCTTTGGGCCCCATAAGGAGCAGTTGGTCCTCACAATGCAGTATAAGTTGGAAAAATGGGCCTCACAAAGCAGCATAAACAAGGACACACACACACGCACACACACACACTAAAATGAACTACTTACTACTTGTATTGACATCATCCAGTCAGATTTGTTCCACCTCAAACTTGTCCTAAACACAGACGAAACCAAAGGGATTTTTTTCAAACAGGAAGTCGGTCCCAGCAGTTCTTCCTCTGATTTTATCCTCAAATGGTGTCCCTATTGAGTTTGTCAATCCCTATAAATATTTGGATATCTTGGTCGACTCGCATCTCTCTTTTAAGCTTCACGTGGAAAATTTAGTAAGGAAACTGAAAGTTAAACTGGGTTTCTTTTTCAGAAATAGATCTTGTTTAACTCTGAATGCTAGGAAACGCCTTGTAACTGCGACTTTTTTATTAACTGAAAGGGACAAATATTCATTGTTCATCAGGAGCTCAGGGCTGTGTTTATGTGAAATAACATCTCGCCGTTACAGATGAGTGCTGCATCAGTCTGCAGCTGCCAGGAGAAATGGAGTCCTGATCAAGAACAGATTGGTTTGTGTTTGAAAAGATCAGATACTTCTGAAGACGTGTGGTTTCCACACGTGAATAGGAGTGCGCCTCCACCCACCACCCTTTTCAATTTCGATCAAGACGATCACATTTTCAACAGGACGATCACGACTCGGCGGCAGAGAGCGCGTAAAGGTCACCGTTCTTCAGAGGGATGGGACAGAAGCGCGACAGCAGACCGTCCCTCTTCAGCCATTTTCAGAAGCCAGATGTGTCATCACCCGCCTTCCTGTCGAGTTAATGTTACTTTAACTGAGAGGGGAAATACACCGGTGGAAAAACAGACGTGCAGCCGGGGAACGGCACAGTCACAAATGTCAGATTTACAACGGAAATTTTCCACAGAGACTGAAGCCGCGGGAAAGGCTGGAGTTCATTACACAAACCCAGCGACAACTCGGTCACAGCGGAGCCCTAAAACACAAAAGTCATAAGTGTGTCCCTGCTGTGAGTCCACACACGCTGAGCTCACGGGTTTCTGTCGTCTCTACATTAGACAAAGACAACATCAAGGTCTGGAATGAGCAGAAACCTGTCGGAAGAAAATATTCTTAAAGCCTAAAATCTACACAAGTAGCACATGTCAAGAGCTCAGAGTGTATGTGGAGGGTGACTCTCAGCTACTACCTGCAAACTTTAGCTCATTATCTGTAAGTCTGACTGCGTTAAGCCACCTTTGTCGCTGCAAAGGTTGATTAGCTGGGGCGGCCATCTTGAATTGAGCTGTAGATGTACTGTGAAGGAAATAATTATTTGATTCCTTGATGATTTTGTAAGGGGCAGCACGGTGGCGCAACTGAGCTGCTGCCTCTCAGTGAGAAGGTTGCTGGTTCAAATCCCGGTCGGGGGGCCTTTCTGGGTGGAGTTTGCATGTTCTCTCTGTGCATGCGTGGGTTTTCTCCAGGTACTCTGATTTGCTCCAAATGACCAAAAACATGCATGTTAGACTGATCAGTAACTCTAAATTGTCCCTAGATGTGAGTAAGAGAGTGAATGGTTGTTTGTCTCGTTTGTCTCTATGTGTCCCTGTGATGGACTGGAGACCTGTCCAGGGTGTACCCCGCCCCTCGCACAGTGATTGCTGGACATGGACCCCGGCGACCCTCATGACCCAAAATGGAAGAAGCGGGTAAAAGATAATGGATGGATGGATGATTTTGTAAGTTTGCCCACTGACAAAGACATGAGCAGTCTATCATTTTAAGGGGATTTTAATTTTAACAGTGAGAGATAGAATATCAAAAATAAAATCCAGAAAATCACATTGTATAAATTATATACATTTATTTGCATTTTGCAGAGAGAAATAAGTATTTGATTCCATATCAACCATTAAGAGTTCTGGCTCCTTCAGACCAGTTAGATGCTCCTAATCAACTCGTTACCTGTATTAAAGACAGCTGTCTTAGATTGTCACCTGTATAAAAGACTCCTCCACAGACTCAATTATTCAGTCAGACTCTAACCTCTACAACATGGGCAAGACCAAAGAGCTGTCTAAGGATGTCAGGGACAAGATCATAGATCTGCTCAAGGCTGGAATGGACTCCAAACCCGTAAGTAAGATGCTGGGTGAGAAGTAGACAACTGTTGGTGCAATAGTAAGAAAATGGAAGAAATACAAAATGACTGTCAGTCGACATCGATCTGGGGCTCCATGCAAAATCTCACCTCGTGGGGTATCCTTGATCATGAGGAAGGTGAGAGATCAGCCTAGAACTACACGGGGGGGACTTGCTAATGATCTCAAGGCAGCTGGGACCACAGTCACCAAGAAAACCATTGGTAACGCATTACGCCGTAATGGATTAAAATCCTGCAGTGCTGGCAAGGTCCCCTTGCTCAAGAAGGCACGTCTGAAGTTTGCCATTGAACACCTGGATGATTCTGAGAGTGATTGGGAGATGGTGCTGTGGTCAGATGAGACAAAAATTGAGCTCTTTGACCCAAAGAACACCGTACCCACTGTCAAGCATGGAGGTGGAAACATTATTTTAGGGGTGTTTCTCTGTTAAGAGCACAGGACTACTTCACCACATCAATGGGAGAATGGATGGAGCCATGCACCGTAAAATCCTGAGTGACAACCTCCTTCCCTCTGCCAGGACATTGAAAATGGGTTGTGGTGGGGTCTTCTAGCACGACGATGACCCTAAACATACAGTCAAGGCAACAAAGGAAGCACATTAAGGTCATGGAGTGGCCTAGCCAGTCTCCAGACCTTAATCCAATTGAAAACCTGGAGGGAGCTGAAGCTCCGAGTTGCAAAGCGACACCCTCAAAATCTTAATGATTTAGAGATGATCTGCAAAGAGAAGTGGACCAAAATTCCTCCTGACATGTGTGCAAACATCATCAGCTACAAAAAAACGTCTGACTGCTTTGCTTGCCAACAAGGGTGTTGCCATCAAGTATTAAGTCTTGCTTGCCAGAGGGATCAAATACTTACTTCTCTCTGCAAAATGCAAATAAATGTATATAATTTTATACAATGTGATTTTCTGGATTTTATTTTTGATATTCTATCTCTCACTGTTAAAATTAACCTCCCCTTAAAATTATAGACTGCTCATGTCTTTGTCAGTGGGCAAACTTGCAAAATCAGCAAGGGATTAAATAATTATTTCCTTTACTGTACATCCATTGATCACTTCCTGGGAGAAAATCTGTCCAATGGTTGAGGAGATAATTTGCTAACAGACAGTGTTAAGAGTCAACACAAAAATGTCTCAATGCGTAGCACTCAGGGTTTCTTTTGGGAATGACTCCCAGCTACTACCACACCAAATTTTAGCTTTGTGTCTATGTGATCTAAGGATTGGGAGCGGTGGCGTAGAGGTTAGAGAAGGTGGGCCTGTGATCAAAGATCGCTGGTTCAACTCTTGGGACAGTCAACAGCAAAATGTGGGTGGGATTGGTGAAGCACCCACACCTGTCTCCACCCTCATTTGCCCCACTCTGGGCCCTTGAGCAAGGCTCTTAACCCCCAACATCTGCTCCCCCAGGTGCCATAGAAAGCAGCTCTCTGCTCCACACAGAGGGCTGTGGTAGCTCGGTGGTCTGTGGTTGTGTCAGGAAGGGCATCTGGTGTAAAAATAATAATTGCCAAGTCTTTGTTCACCATAGTGACCCCTGAAGGGAGCAGCTGAAAGAAGAACATTTTTTATGTGATCTAAAGAGGAACTGTGGCGTAGAGGCTAGCAAAGGTGAGCCTGTGACTGGTAGGTTGCCAGTTCGAACACCCAGACTGACGACAATAAATGTGGGTTAAAGGCTTAAAGGCTGCATCTTGAGTGAAAGCTATAACATTCAATTTTTTTTTTCACATTTGTTATTTTTATTAAAAAACTTAAACAAGAAAAATGTGGGTGTCATTTACCCCACAATGCTTTTTGTGCTGTTAGCTGTAGCAGCCATCTTGAATTAAAATCAAGACATATATCAGTGGCAGATTTACTTTAAACAACAATGTTATTGCCCGTCTTGGCCTTTTGGCAGCAGCTTGTAAATAAATCAGTGAATCTCTCTTGGATCTAGCAGATGACATCATTTCATGTAATACTAGCAGATGACATCATTTCATCAAATAAGGAACTAGAATGTGCAACAACTCCTCCACCAGAAGGCTGAAACTCGTTTCTCAGTCGACCCAATCCAAACTCCACTTTGCATTTTTGGCCACATCCATCAGCATGTGCATGCAGAGTATCTGATTGACCTCTGACCTCTGTGTAAAACCCATTTTTAGTCTTTTCCTTGCATCGTTAACAATGAGAGCTCTGATAATTACAATCACAACCGTGCAGGTGGGGCAGGTGCAGAAAAGAAGACGAGTCGTTGATCGAAGCAGAACATTCAAATTTAGAACTGACCCGGAAGGAACGAGTCGACCAGATGAGTTAAAACTCGACCGAGTCAAGGCTTCATCTTGAGTGAAAGCTGTAAAGCTGTCGTTTTCCACGTTTTGTTTATTCTCATTCAAAAGCATTAAATGTCTGCCAGAACCAGCTAAATCATCTCAATTAACGATCATTAATCATTAATGTGCACGACTCGGTCCATTTCACAGACACTGAGCTAACATCTGGTGTGGTAGTAGCTGAGAGTCATCAACAGCACAACAGCTCTGAGTGCTAACAGATAGCTCAAGAGCTTTCTTTTAAATTTTACCATCAACTATTTGGAGTCAGTCTTGTTTGTCTGTTAGCAAAATATCTCAGAAACTATTAGATTTCAATGAAACTCAGAAAGTAATAATTGGATGTACGTCTACTGATTTACTATTTGCATTCAATCCAATTCAAGATGGCCGTCACAGCTAATCAACATTAGCCAACACATAAATGGCTATAGCTCTATCAGTTTAACAGATTTTGAGCTGAAATTTGAGGTGGTAGTAGCTGAGAGTCATTCTCAACACATACTCTGAGCATAACATTTTGTGATATTGCTTAAACCATTTTTAATCTCAAGCTTCACCAAAACATCTACAACGCCATCATTTCTCAGCATAGTTAAAACTCTGGTATGAAAGGTGGCAGGAGATTTGCATTATTTACAGAACGTTAGGTCGTTATCGCTCCATGGTGGCGAGGACAGGATAAACTCCTCCCCTCGCCCACGGTAATCTTGATCAGGATAAATTAGGATTATAAACCTGCGCTGGATTCCCAGCAGCATCAGCTTCAGCATTCAGACCACTCTCATTTACGACCTTCATATAGGCTTTCAAGAAATGCCAATTTAAAATTCACAGTAATGAACCCATTGACCCCGCACCCCTGATTCATTTTACTCACTAATTCTGGGTCAAATTGTTTGCACTTTCTGAATTTAACCCAGTTATAATTTGAGCTGCACAGCTGTGACGGTTCTTGAACATTTTCATCATTTCTCATCATTTAAACATCAATAGTTCTCATTTATCTACCAAAATAATAAAAACTTTACTGCAGGGTGACTCAGGCTACATTTTTTTTACATTTAAAACATAAAAAGGCTTAAATACAGAGAAAATATTAATAAAACCTTTAGGACATGCTATTAGATTAAAATAAACAAACTGCTGAAAATATTAAATAATTTATTATTCTTTAAAAATGTAAAGGAACAAAAACCACTAATCTCCTGCATGCAATTAATCCTGAAATAAGCTCTCGTCTTTTATTAATCAGGCTTTCATCAGAAAAAAAAATTTGCCTCCTATTGTTTCATCAAACCTCTTTAGACGTTACGCTCTCCTCCGAGCCGTTTCCTGAGCAACAACAAAACTCTGCATACATTAAAATTAAAACAATTCATTTTTCTGTTCTTAATAAAACCTGAAGTATTTTAAACTGATGTGAAGGTTTGAACCATCTGACTGCAGAAATGGTCCATCCATCTGACCCGCAGGAGCGGATTTATCTCTAAACATTATTTTGCACATGAAGTCCAAGGAATGCATATCGCCCGCTGCCGTTCATGGCTGAGTTTTCAATAAAATCACGCTGCGCTGAAAACGAATGAGGTTTTGGTTAATCCTTGTAAATGACAGTAAAGAAGATCTCGTGTGACTGCGAGGTCTTGCAGGATCACTCTCGGCTACTACTGCGTTCATTTTAGCTCAATATCTGTAGAACTGACGGAGCTAGTTTCCTGTTTGCTGTGGAGACAATGTTGAACTGGGTTGCCTCCAAAAGTTAAAGAGTTTTAGATAAATATCTGATGATTACTCTGAGCTTTAATAAAATCCATCCAGTGGTTCATGAGATATTTTGCTAACAGACAGGCCAAACAGACAGAAACTTGATCATGTTTTGCCTTCAGCAGCAGGTGAAAATTAAGGAACTAATGTCCAATTTTTTTTCACCCCCAAAACTTGACTTTTTTTTTTTTTTACGATTTGGAAAAATTAAAATAAGATTAAATGGGAACACTTGTTATTTGGGAATATTCCGAATGAAAGATTCCTCGTTTGAAGCCGATTTATGAACGTGTAGGTCTCGCCATCATCAGCTTCACAGTTCAGAGACACTCAGGTGGACTAAACCAGAAGAGCAGGAAGCAGATGTTTACTCCGACGAGAAACCAAAATAAAACAAACAAATAAATAAATTGAAACCATTTCATTTAAGGCTCGATATCTTCAGCGTTTACTAAATGAAACCAGAACCGAGGATGAAATTCTGAATTCTGCAGACACAGTTAAAATCTAACTAACCATAAAACTCAAATATGTTTACTCAAAATGACCAACTAATATTTATCACGTCTAAATGAAAAAACAAAAGCTTCACTTTCCTCATTGTCAAACACAAACCAGCTCTCCAAATCTCTTTTTGTGCTAAACTTGATTAGAATGACATTAATTTATGTTAAGCTCCTCATCAAGCCCAAGGCCTAATCTTTTCAAGACGAACACACAAACCTGGAATGCTCAAACTCTCAGACTAATTATGTAAACAGATTATTTATCTTCAAGGATCCTGACAGAGGAGAGGTGTGAGAGAGCGATTTGTCCTGAGACGCCGTCGCCCGATGACGTCCACAAATATTTCAAATCGTCAGTTTGTATCCGAGTGACATCACGGCAAGCCTGCAAGAAATATCTGCACAGGCTGATCTAAAATAAAACTGTTTTGATCTTTATAAGGATAGGTTTGTCAGATCAGACCAGATGTGTGTCCGGAGACGTAAAATAAGCTTTTAGATGTCACAAATAAACATGGCCATGGTTGGCTGCCCGACTGGATTCAACATTTTAACTCCACATCAGACTGGGAAGAGAGACTGGTTCATTTTGTGTCCGGATGAGAGAAGAAAAGTTAATCAAAAGCTCTGGGACGTAAACTCATCTTCCTCAGTATGACGACAAATACATCCACACCGTGGTAATAAAAACACGCTGAATCACTAAAACCAAAACAATATTATTTATGTAAGAACATTATAGAACTAGCGTACCTTGAATTAAAGCACGTTGCCCACCACCTTTAACACCAGAGTTTTGAACTGAGATCATCTTTTATTAATTAGTAATGGACAGAGACCTTCCTGTTAAACCTTGTAAACGATAAAATGTGTTATTTAATGTGAACTCTCACACCATGTGTTAGCTCTCAGAGTATGTGCTGAGGACGACTCTCGGCTACTACCACACCACATTTGACCTCAATAGCTGTAAAACTGACCAAGTTACAGCCATTTCAGAGCTTGCTAAAGCCAAATAGCTGTGGCAGCCATTTTGAATTGGACGGACTCCAAACGTTAAACAGTTGTAAACATACACAAAGTGGTTGTCCACACAAATGTGGCTGTTTGGAATCACCAGTGAGACATACCAGCAGAACTATGAAGGCAGACATGGAAATTTAAACAGAAGCTGCCTGACCCAAAACAATCGTATCTGAATTTGGCGTCCCCACTCGGCCTTGAATTGACCGACTGTCTTAACTTCTCCTGGTTGTCGATGTGAACGAGAAGCTCCGCTCCTGAGCACATCTGTGGATCTGTGTCAGAGCTGAGCTGGCTGATAGACACTGCATCATCTTTATCAGGACTATGGAACTTTCTGGCAGGGTCCACGAACAACTCACTGCCCTCGTCTGCTTCCTCATGCATAAATTATGAGGTCATCAGTATGTTGCTGCTTCATGTGCTGAGGTCATCTTTTGCAACTTTCACACAGTGTCCCATCTAGGACACCGTGCAAGATTAAAAAAAAAATTTTTTTTTACACCTCCGCTCCCCCTCGTGTTTCTTTTTCCTTATATGAAAGAAATGCAGTGCCTCTCGAGGACGACGGCCTCAGTCACCGCCGTCTCCCCATGCCTGTTAGGTTTCTCTCAGACGGGCTGTACTGAAATGTAATTTTGTTGTGTTTCGGTGCAATGACAAAGCTGATTCTGTTTATTGAAAATTTCATCCAAATCCATCGGATGGTTAAAGAGATATTTTGCTAATAGAGAGACAGAGTTGACTCAGTTAACTCAATTCAGTCTTTGTATGTTCTCTGCCATAATAGCACCGTTATATTTACTTTATTTATTTTTTTAAACAGAACATTTTTACACATTTCCCTCCAGAGCTCAGTATTTCCTTGACATTACTGACAGAATAAACAAATCAGTGCCTGCAGTTGTTGAACCGCTACCTAACCCGAAGCACACATTTTCTTTTTATTTCCACACTGGGCACTTTCTGGGCTCCATACCCAGAAGTTTATTGGTATCACGGTGACCCTTTGAGGCTTTAGGAAGTGAGTGAAGCCTGTAAAAGTGATGAAGGTGGAGTTATGAGACAGCAGCTCACTCATGAATACGATCATCCTCCATGAACCTCTGCTGCCCTCCTGATAAAACCAAAATGGACACCTTCAGAAATATTGGCATATTGAACGAAGCCGCCCATCTCAGGTTAATCACATGGCTGTAGACGGCGATAAGTGAGCATCAGATGGCGTTAGGAAAGCTGAGATAGAAAGGAGCTGAATAGATCTGTGGTTCTTCTGTGAAGGAGCGGAGGCCACGAGGAGTCTACCTGAAAACAAGGCGGTTGACTTTAAACTGGGTCTCTATCACGCCGGTCGTCCTCAGTCGCACTCGCAACACGTCTGTCTCCGTGGGCACGTACTCCGGAGAAGTGATGCGGCTCATGCTCTCAAAGAAACTGGGAGAGGAAGAGGAGAGAAGGTTCAGAACAAAAAAGGTGGAAGAAACAGGAAAAAAACCCTGCGGTCAAGATTCAGATTTTTCAAAAAGGCCGGTGTGTGAGCTCGCTGTGTTTGTCGTGGTTGTGTCGACTGCCAGCTTGTGGGTTGGGAGCGCAGAGATTGAGCGGGAGCTCCTCGGGGGGGATGAGCGGGGAGCGCAGCAGTTCATCACGATGAATTTTAACGCCACTGTTTCATTTAATGAACAAACTGAGGCTAAGCTTCCAAACACTGATGAGCTTTGAACACAGGAGGCGTGATGGAGCGTATGAGTGCACACACTCATAGACGTGATCTTTAAAACACACACACTCTGTGACATTCTCAGCTCGTCACCCTGAATCAGTTTCCTGGACACAGACACACGACCTGCTGCTTTAGAAAATAAAAATGAAAAAGAATCTTGAAGCACAGAAAAAAAGCATTTTCCTGAAAAGCATTTAACATTTTTAGACATTTTTATTTTCCAAAAGTAAAATTTTTTTAATGTAAAGTGGTCTTGATCACAAGACCTTTGGGGTTTCTGAAGATCTTTTAAAAAGGTTTTCTTCGGACGCTTTATTTAAAAAATTGTTTACTCATTTTCAGCCCAGTTCTTGTACAGAACCCGCTCCTGACAACATTTCAGCCGAGTGAGCATAAAAAACAGGAAAGTAGACAACAGAAGGCGTCAGACCTAAAAACTATCTACAGCTGATGACCAGAATCTAAAAACCATGTCTTGAAGAAACTAGAAATTAAAGACTGATCATCCTTCAGCTGATCATCGGCTGTGTGCCAAATTTTCAGCTGATAGCTCATTGGGAATCGCCAAGTTGAGACTAAAATACTATTTTATGTGTAGAACTGGTTTATTTTTGGTATTTCTTAATAGAAACAGGTGAATAAATATGAACACATGCTGCTTCAATGACAGGCTGCTGGAAGTTAATTTCATTAATTTATTTAGTTTTTGCTAAATTTAGTTTTTAGAGTTGAAACGACTCTGGTTCGTCTTGAGTTTAGGAGCCGTTTTATGTCCAAATAAATCACTGTTTTAAATTAAGTGCTTTAACAAACCCCATAAAATAAACATTAAGAAATTCCTCTGAATATAGTAAAGTTCTGGACAGAAAACGAGCAAAAAATAAGCCAAAGTTTAAATAAAAGCTTTAAAAAAAACCTCCAGAAAGCTCAAAGAACATTTGGTCAAGACCACTTTAATAGATAAAAACGACTGGCTCATGACTGAATGAATGAATGAATGAATGAAACGAGGGATGAGTCCTGTAAATCTGTTCAGTCCCTTCCCAGTTCACATGTTAACTAAATCCCAACATCAACAACCAGATTTAACAGCAGAGGAGCTGATGAAGGTGGTCCTCACAGGTATGGTAACACTCTGCAGCGTGTAAAGTGACGATGACGAGCGGTGCTTCTCAGTGGGAACCACGGGACCTGTCGGTGTGGATAACACCAGAACCAGAGCCTCTCACTGGAGGCCAGGATGAGAAGAGACGGCCTCCTGGAGCTTCTGAGCTTTTTCTTCCTCCACCATAAACAGACACACACCCTTCCCTCCATACTCCTGTCAGATCTTCATCATCCTCACATCGTTGTTTTCACTGTGGTGCCACAAAAATGTACATTCTTTCTAAACCAAATATTCCAAAGTCCCAATAGTTCTTTGCGCACACACAAATTCATTAACCCGTCTGTGTTTAACGCATTTGTGTATTTACAGGAGATGTTCTGTGTCCTTGCCTCTTCCCTCTCTGCTCTCCAGACGTTGACTCCAAGTGACAGCGAGCACACGGCTGAGAACCTGCCGCTAACTGCTGCTAATTAGACCCCGCGCCCCCTCTGCTCAGCGTGAATACTCACTACAGCGCCGAGTCGTTGAGCTCGTACTCAAAGCCCCGGGCGGCCGCGGCCCTCACTCCCTGGTCGGCCCAGAGACAGGACAAGGCGTGGCTCAAGAAGGGAAACAATACCTGATCTTCATCAAAACACCGCCCGCATGACAGCACTGAATGGGCGTGGACCTGAGAGACGAAGACAAGAGGACACAGATGAGGATAGACGAACAGGAAGGCGCACGGATGGGACTCGGTAATCACTAAAGACGCACAAACGGATGGAGAAACGCATCAACAAAGACGTGAAAACGCTCAAACGATCACACCCTTGGTGACATTTAATAGAGGAAATACGTTTCTGTCTTCATCTCGCAGCAGGAAGTGCACGGTGGGTGGAGAGCTCTCGGAACTGAAGCAACAAAGTTCAAATCAAATTAAACCTCACCATCTGCCCACCCACCCATCACCAACTTTCTGCTCATCATCCAGCAGACTCGGTGTTGAGATGCTGCCCCCTAGTGGTGATCAGGGTGATGAGCAAGCTGCGATAACCTGCTGAGCTGGAGCTGAGTGAGGAGAACATGGAAACAGTTTGAACCATACCTTGTTCTTGCTGTTAGCCAGGTTGATGCGGAGGACGCCCATTCCATGCAGGACGAACTTCATGGAGGTCAGCAGGTTATCCAACACCGCAGGCTGACAGAGATCAGGGTTCAAAGGTCAATGAATGACAGTCAGTATTCTCATGATTCACTTTGTTAAAACTGTTCGTTTCAGCTCATTTTTACTGAATGCATGAAACGTCTAGGAAAGAGCTACTAGCTGAATCAAATCGAGTGTTTCTGAGTTTCATTTGGTTTTTGTTAGAAAATTAATTTCTAATAAAAACAATTTGATTCGTTGTTTTTTTTGTATTTTTTTGTAACTTTTTTAACTTTCTAAAAGCCATTCTCTGGACGAGTGTTGCAAATTGTTACTGCAATGATTGAATTAGACGACCGCTTTTATCGCCCACCACCACAGACAAAAGGGGGATAATGAAGCTGCGTCTGCGTTTGTCTGTAGTTTTAGCAAAATCACTCATTATTATTTTTTTCATTTAGCCTTTATTTATACAGGTAGTCTCATTGAGCCACGATAACTCATTTTCAAGAGAGACCTGTTTAGGGAGCAGATGGGGGTTAAGGGCCTTGCTCATGGGCCCAGAGTGGGGCGAATGAGTGTGGGGGCAGGTGTGGGTGCTTCACCTACCCCACCCACATTTTTGATCTTGTCGGTGCCGGGGCTTGAACCGGCGATCTTCCGATCACAGGCCCACCTTCTCTAGCCTCTGCGCCACCACTCCCCCATTTACTTGTGGACAGCATTTAATGAATGATCATTAAGTGTAACGCTACAACCAACTCATGAACTTTGGTAGTAAACAGAATTCAAGATGGCTGCCACAGCTTAGCTTTAACTAAAGTGGCCACAATTTAATCAAATTTACAGACATTGTGCCACATTTGGTTCAGTTGTAGCAAACAGACCTCTCTGCCTTGTACTAGCAGGCAATACGCATCAAATAAGGAATGCTAGGCCCTAAACTAAAAACATTGTTTTAGTTTTATCCATGCATATGTTTATTCATTAATTATAATTAAATATATAGGACAGGGGCAGGTCCTTGGTTCAAACCCCGGTCCAGGGGTCTTCTGGGTGGAGTTTGCATGTTCTCTCCGTGCATGCGTGGGTTTTCTCCGGGTGCTCCGGTTTCCTCCCACAGACCAAAAACATGCATGTTAGGCTGATTGGTAACTCTAAATTGTCCCTAGGTGTGAGTGAGAGAGTGAATGGTTGTTTGTCTCGTTTGTCTCTATGTGTCCCTGTGATGGACTTGCGACCCGTCCAGGGTGTACCCCGCCCCTCGCACAGTGATTGCTGGACATGGGCACCAGCGACCCCCGTGACCCAAAATGGAATAAATGGGTAAAGATAATGGATGGATGGATGGATATAGGACAGGGGTGTGCAATCTTTGCGATAAAGAGAGACATTTTTGCCACTTTACTTCCTAATTATGATGTCCGGAGCTGCTAAACCTGCTACAACTGTGTGCCGTCAACTGGTGGCTCATGGACCACAAGTTTGTTGGACATGGCTTTTCTGGCCAGTGAGAGTGATGATATAAAATGAAAAATGTCTAACTTGTTAACATCTGTCTGTACAGCACTTTGGTTGGCCTCGTCGCTGTTTTAAGTGCTCTATAAATAAAATGGTATGGTAAAATTTACTGATGTTTTTTTTTTTTACATTTTAATACCAAAAAAAAAAAAAAAACAAAGACCAGATTCATGTAAATAAAGAAAAAATATAATTTTTCAAATAACAATTAAAACTGAACTCTGCAGGCTGATGTGAGTTTTCTTAATTGCTGAAGAATTAAGGATCCTAAGCACAAAGTTAACAACAGTATAAAATTAGGCCAATTTGTTGGATATCCAGTTACATTTTTAAAGAAAAATAAAGACTTTAATTTACTTTGACTTTTTTGTGTGTTTTATCAAAGTTACTAACCATATTCCTTCTCAGCAGCTTGTCTTAAAGATATTCCAAAACATTCTGGTAGTTTTGAGAGAAAGATCACGCTAAGCGACTGGAAGTCAACGTAAAGTGGCTAACAAACTGCTAGCACGATGCAGTCCACATGTTTTACGCCTTGTATTTGAACCATCCTTCACATATTTGAAAATGACAGGAAATCTGCTAAAACTAGCCAACTAAATATTTAATTCACAATTTTAATATTTAGTTTACAAACTAAATACTTAACTTGCAAGTTAAATATTTAGTGAACAAAATATTTAGGTGTAAATTAAGCATGTAATTTCTAAGCTAAACATTTAATTCCTAAACTAAATATTTAATTTGCTAACTAAATATTTAGCTCAAACCTAAATATTTATTTTCCAAGCTAAACATTTAATTTCCAAAATAATTTTTTTTAATTTGCCAACTATATATTTAACTTGCAAGTTAAATATTTAGTTTATCTTGCCAACTAAATATTTAGCTTACAAGTTAAGTAGTTTGTAAACTAAATATTTAGTTAGGAACTATGACATTTATAAATGTACAAATGACATTGTGAAAATATGACTGATAAAAAAAAAAAAAGTTTTTTTCTTATGAAAGGCTAAATAAACCAAAATATTGATGTTCAATTTTGACTGTGTAACTTTACAAACGGCACCCACATTAAACAATTGTCTTTGCGTCTTCATTTGGATGTTGGCACTTGTAAATTTGCAAATAGCCTCCACATAACTGTAACAAGTCAGTTGAGTTTTGCAGCGTTTAGGATGAATGAGCATGCAAGCCTTTTGTTCATTCTCTGAAGAGACTAAAAAGATCAGGATGCCCCAGGTCAATCAAATAAACTTGAATTATGACCTCAGTGTGACCCTCACTAAGCTGCTTTCACTGATTTCAGCAGTGCTCAACTGTTCCTCATAATCTCACCATTTTTTCAGCAGCCTGAGGCCCACAGGTGTCACTGTGCTCATCTCAATCCATTATTATCTATACGTCACCTGTCTGAGGAAGTCTGGAGGAAAATCACCCTCAGTTTTGAACTATGTGCATGTGTGTCAGTGAACATGGAAGTTATTTCCACAGAAATCCAGAGAATGCGTTACACATTTCCAGCTTCCACTTCCTGCTGGCTGCTGCAGGTTTAAAGTATTGTGGGAACGTTGTGCGTCAGCAGAGATGCTCAGCGTCTCATTACAACAGGGTGATCTGTAAATCCACCCAAATCCTCTGAGCTATTGTTCTGGTCCAGAGAGCCGCTGGGATCGGCTCCCTGAACGCAGAACACTAGCAGCCATTAGCAGTTATCTTCTGTCTGATCGATTGCAAAGAAAACGCAGAAGAATGTGGCTGAACAGGCAGCGAAATACTTAATCATTAACCACAGACTGTGCAACACAGAATGAATCACTGAAAACCCAAATGTGTTTGAGAAATCATTAAATCCCACAAATGTATTCTTCTTTTTTTCATATTTATGACAACCACTTGAATCACCAGATGAGCCAGACTAAGTGGAACTAGCACTCTTTGTTAAGGTGGCAGAATCAGTTGGCACTCCGTGTACAAGTTGTGAATGACTCTCAGCTACTGCCACACTAAATTTCAGTTCAAAATCTTACATATCAAAATTACTTACAGGCGTTAGGCCTGTGACGATAACAAATATTGCTTGGCGATTAATTGTCTCAGAAATGATTGCGATAAACGATAATGTTGTTTGAAAATTGACAATAATTAGTAATTATTGTCAAATTTAAGAAGAAATGTTGGTTAATTTGTTTTGGTTGTAGTACCTTTTTTTGACCATCGGATGGCAGTATAAGACTGTTTGAACCGAAGGATGGATAGCGAGGGAGCGAGCAGCGTGTCTCTTTAAGAAAAATGGGAGGGAGGCCCCTTGACGTGACATGGGCTGTCGCTCCTTCCTTTTTTTCTGTTCTCAAAATGGCGAACGCTCGGTGTGGTTTGAGCTCTTTATCGTAACATTTTTCACACAAAGCTTTTATTTACAATAACAATAATAAAGTAAATCAGTAAACAAGTTCTCAGCTTCTTTTTGCAGAGAAAAACAACTTTTTACACGAAGGCACAAGTTTCAACCGTGAATTTTGGAGCTTCGACAAGACGGAGGTTTTTTCTCCCAAGGTCGGCCTGTTATCTTAGCTCGTAGCTTAGCTGCTTTTAACGATCCAAAAATGTGATTTTATACGATTAAAATGGATTTTAAAGAGAAAGGGAGAGGTCATTGAAGAGCACCGGAGTTGAGTCTTTTGTCATCCAGTGTCTTCAGAGAGATACCAAGAAACGATAAATGAAAATGAGGTTGATAAATTTTCATTTATCATGCGATTAATTGATTTATTATTTATCGCGACAGGCCTAACGGGTATTTTTGTGCTTGCTAAGGTTGACTTAATTGTTGTGGTCTGCTTTACTCAGGTTGAACTCAAAACTCAGTAGAAACACACCCAGCATGTACTTTCTGAGAGTTTTATTAAAATCTGTCCAAGGGTTCATTAAATATTTTGCCAACAGACAAACAGGGTTGAGTTCTTCCGTTATTGCCAAAGATTTAAAACATATTTCTAATACAATCAGTTAGTGTTCAGAGTAGGAGGTGTGGATGACTCTCAGCTACTACCACACCAGATTTTAACTCTTTTAAAAATGAACAATTAATAGCCATTTTATATATTTGCTAAGTTTGATGAGCTATAGCGGACTTGTTAGATCAAGTCAACTCCAAATTTAATCATTTGTAGATGTACATCAAATGGTTACTCTCTGAAAGTTTTATTAACATTTGTGCTCTTATTCACAAGATATTTTGCTAACAGAAAGACACACGAACACAGGTAAAAATAGCACGATTGCTCATCTTTCATGGCAGCTGGTAAAATGAAACTATTAACTTACACAGACACAAAGACCAAAGTTTTGGTTTCTGGAAGAACAGTCTATAATACAGAACACCATGGCCTCAGGCTGCAAATACAAGGAGGAGATCAAGAAGAACCTCATTTACCATCAACCCCCTCACCATGCTGATTTTTTTCACTCAACCTTTATTGAGACAGGTTAATCCCATTGAGCCTCAGGGACTCATTTTCAAGAGAGACCTG